GCCAGACGGGGTACGGAAAATTCAATTTTTAGTTTTTTAATTTTATAAAATCAGAGAGAGCCGTTTTGCAAAAATGAACAACGAGAGGTTGTTCAGAATTCAATTCTCTATCGAATGAACTAGGTCGCTAAGGGATTTGCCAATGACACTCAAAAACCACTCCTTGTAAGGGAAACGTTGCACCGTGTGCTTGATGCTTCAACGCCTAGGCTTGGTTAAAAAAAGATGGTAATAAATCAATAAAACGTGTTGAAAAATCGTGGCGTCTGGCTGGGGGTATAAATTTGCGTCGCTGGGTGCTGAAAACTTTTTTATACTCGTGTGTTTTGAATGTAGGGTGAAAACCCGCAAATTTTGCGGGCTTTGACATTACAGGATTGACAGAACTGAGAATCATCGTTAAGCACATTAAATACGAACTGAGTCTCGAATTGGAGCTTGGAAAAAGTTAAAATTTAATTGCGGAATTGAGTTCTAAGTCCCTTAACTGTTCCTTAAGTGAACTTAAGTTAAGTTAAGTAAGTCGAAACTTCTAACTGTTTGAAACTGAAGCTTAAAAAATGGAAAAGAATATAAGAAAGCGCTAATAGAAGGCTTACTGTACAAACTATCCAAAAAATCTGGCAAATTTTATTCACTGTCACAAAATTTATAACAGCTCAAAATCTAGAGAGCGAGTAGAAAAGGCTACACAAATCCAGGTTTTCGCATGCCGAAAATGCTTCAAAAATACCGCAGAAAAACTTTTCAAAAAAAAACACTCGGAATCGTTTCTTACCACTGCTAAAGACGACTACGCAAAATGACTAACGACGACCTCTCTAAGGTGTGGGCTGCCCCTGAATGGCGGGAATGGCCGGCTTCCGGACGGCCGCCGGGGGGCCAACCAGCAGAGGGAATGTTGGAATGGACGGCGCGTGGGCCAGCGACGATGGCCAATAACAATGGAGCATTCGGCCGTGCTAAACACAACCTGCTGTCTCTGCGCCCGCCATCAAAAATCAAGGCTTTGCCGGGTTTTCTAAAGTTTTCGAGGGGGAAATGGGCGTTTTGGGAAGTTTGGCTTTTGTTTTAGGACTGGGCAATGCTAGCAACCAAATAGTTGGAATTCTTAATTTTTCGGGAAAGCAAAAAAGCAACAGCTAGCGAATTAAAATTTCAATGGAATCCCAGCCTGGGCTTTTGAAAAAGCAAGAGAGCAAGTCGGAAATTTTTTAAATTTTGCGGCGACTTAACGTTACGCTGATTTGGTTTCAAATTTCTCAGATTTTCGAAAATTTTAATCAGCTAGAGATAAGCTACGCGCAAATTTCGTGCAAAAATCAAAAGCACAGGAACAGAATATGCGAAAAATCGTGGGAATCGCCAAAACAATTACGCTGAAGTGTGGGGCCACGAATTCTGAGGGGTGAAGATTGCTTCTCGGTTCGCAAAGAAAAAATTCAAAGTTTGCACATTTTCGAATTTTTAAAGCCTTGACCAAGCAAGAAAAGACAACAGAGTTTATGATAGCCGTCTTGTTTTGTAAAAATTTCTGAGGTTTTCAGCCGCGTTGAATTGGGCGCTTATTTATCAAAAATCCATAAAATTCCGGACTTCCCGGTCCCTCGCCAGACCTTAGTTTGATGACGCAGCGTTCGCAGCTTAATTCCAGCTTAATAGCGGCGATCCGGAACTCTAGGGATGAAATAAACAGAACAACCCTCGCTGCAGAAATGCGGAAAAACGAAACCGAGCCCCCGGGCGGGGTCAGTCAGTTGGTCGCGACCGGGGGTGCACACGAGCTAAATGGGCGGGAATCGGAAGAGAAGAAGAAGAGAAGCCGGCGAACAGTTGGACCTTCTAGAGGGGGGAACGGCTGCCAATAAATGACCCTGAGGGGGGGTTCAGGGGACGGGGCACTTCATGGGATACCGCTAAAAATGAGATAAATTTGTTAACGGCAAGAATTCGCAAAAAAATGGGGGTGACCGGAAATAGGTTTATGGGTACTGGGAAGGAAGGAGTTTATCCTGAACATGATCTAAATAGTAAATACCTAGGCTTAGGCTTACGCTTAGGTTGATGTTTAGGCTTAGGCTTAGGCTTCGGCTTAGGTTTAGGCTTAGGCTTAAGCTTAAGAATAACAATGCACTATAAAAAAACCATGACCTAAGCAGGCCTACCGTACACTCGAAGCGTGCAGTAATAAACAATAGCATCGAATACTACTAGAAAGATCTTCATCGCCAAGTACTTATTGTTACGAGCAGCCAGCCCATCCCAATTGGTCAGTTGCACTGGCTGGCCAGTTCCGTCCAGTGCAGTCAAGTGGACTGGGGCCCATCTGCCCAAATGGCCACTTCTCCTCCCGGACCTTGCTTCTGCCTCTCCCCGCACAAAAACGTCGAAACGATTTGGAACGGAACGCCGAGGGGGGCCGGCCGGGAAGGGCCTCACACCTGTTTGAGGAAAGTAATATAATTTGAGGGTATCGGAGCGACCGGAAACGGGCAATTTTGTGACTTTTTGATACAATGTTGGCGTTCAAAATTGTCTTGGGCGGTATTGAAAAATCGTAAGGGCATTTGAAGAGAATTACCATGAAAAAACGCGTCGAATCACGTAAATTGTTCGTTTTCCTACTGGTATCCCAGCGCCAAAGTGGGAAAACAGATACAATCAAGACAACACACGCATTAAAAAATGTATTCAATACTTCAAAATCAACAAAATGGTGTTAAGCCTTATGCAGACATTAGACGTGAAATGGGAAGTCTTAAAGCTTGAATCCTTAAAGCTTAAAGCTCCGAGCAACGGCACCTCGTCCACTTCCAAGCCTTGAATAAAATGACAGCCGCTTCATTTAGGAAAACTGCCCTAGAAACGATAACGCTGTGAAATCCTCGAAACCGCACACAGCTGGCCCCAAACCCCAGCAAAATCCGCAAGGGCAAATCACCCGCAAAAATTTCACAGCCCTCCATCTGAAGGTGACAAAGAGAGAGAGAGAGAGAGAGAGAGAGAGAGAGAGAGAGGGAGAGAGAGAGAGAGAGAGAGAGAGAGAGAGAGAGAGAGAGAAAGAGAGCGAAATCACTGTTTTTTTCATTGCGGTCGTACAAGCCACAAACAGGCCAGCTGTCCTTTCAAGAGAAAAAATGAGGAGCATCAGCTTTTGGGCTAGAAGACCCGTAGAGAGAGAGAGGGAGAGAGAGAGAGAGAGAGAGAGAGAGAGAGAGAGAGAGCTCGGGCTTTACTCGACTCGACCTCGCGGGGCTTTCCGGGGCCCTCCTCACACTTTGACGACCTGGGAATTATTACAGCACCTGTGGGGTGGGGAGCTGCTTTGAGATCCGATCGGGGCGGCGGGTTGGGACTCACTTTACCACCACCACCTCGACGTGAATCACACCCTGGCGGCTTTTGGGCTGCGCTGTCCGGAGAGGAAATTAATGGATTGGGGAGGGAGTATAGTTCAAAGAGATCATGTGATTAGGAGGGTAGCAATAGCGCAGCCGCCCATTTTCATGCAAAACGCGATCGGAGCGTATCAGAACTCTGCGGAATTAAAGCTCCTGGCCCGGTTTAGGTTGAGACTTTGGCTTAGGCTCCGCTTAGGCTTAGGCTTGGCTGTGGGTTAGGTCTAGGCTTAGGCTATAGCTTAGGTTCTGCTTAGGCTTAGATCAAGGCTTGGCTTCGATTAGGCTCAGGGTCAGGCTCAGGTTTAGGCTTCATTTCCCCATGATTTACGATCTCCTCCCTAAAAACCCAGCTTCTTGTCAGACCCCAATCACTCGATGCATCTTCCTGCCCCGAAAAAAATCTGACCCCGCCCTTCTCCGCGGGAGCAAAAGCCGCCATCGCTCAGCAAGTAAACATGTGTTCCGTCGTAATCCTCCGGATATTATGCTTCCGTCTTTAGAGGGAAGAATGGGGTTGCGAAAATATGTATAGTTTAAGGCATCATATCCCTGTTTCAGAGCAAAACAGTAAAAATCAGCAGTTTTTCAAATTCAACCTACCAGTTGCTTCAAGAGTTTCCGATGAATATCGAGAAGAAGAAGAAGTCGAGGCGGATGAAGCCAAGAGTCCAAATGCCCTCTTCCTCCTCCCGGTTGGCCCGGGTCACAAATTATGGACCCACAAAAAGCCATCCCCCTCCCTCAAGTCATCCCCACTGATTGATGAGATTTTACCCCCCCCCCCCACCGGAAAGTGTCATATGCCCCCCGGGCTTGATGGACAAAATCAAATTCGACGTCTAGAGGGGTGCCCGGGGTTTTTTTGAAGACAAAAAGCGGGCATGACGAGAATTGGGGGTACGTGAGGGCTAGGAATAGCTATCCAGCTGAGTGAAAAAGCTAGGAAGTAAGATGAGAGATAGGCCATTCCCAGGCTTACTACGGTAGTTGTGCAATCGCCGATCGGCGGGCTGTTGCGCGAGTTTTTTGCTTCCCCGCCGGAAGTAACTGGGTCTGGGAACGCCGCATACTCGTCGAAAAATGGTCAAAAAATGAAAATTAATTTCCGGGTAAACAAATGAAACTGTAATGAGACCTTTCTTGCATCAAACGTTCGGTGAAATGCATTTATAATCCAAAAATCAATACTGCTGAAAAAGCCTTTGCTAAAATCTCGCTTCGATGATAATGCTGGCAACCTTTCTTCTTGTTTTTCATACGCCATAATCAAAAACGACCGCCTTTTGCATTGTTTTTTCACTTTAAGCACGCCTTACCCGGGGTTTTCAGGGTATCCGAATTTTTTTGAATTATTCCCAGTTCCTTTAAGCAAATAAAGTTTGTTTTCCTGTAGACAACTTTGCACAATTCTGAAAAACTCCATTTTCCGCCTCTTGTCTTCAAACGCACTCCCTGGTCATTACGCCACGAAAAGGGCACCCAGAGTGTCGATAGGCGCGCCTAGTAGCCCCTTGCGACCCCGAAATTCCAAGTTTTGAAATCTAAATCCTGTACTTTCGTAGCTCTACTTTTGCATTAAAAACATATTTTCCAGGTGTAATGGACCGATTGGAACCTCTGCAACCGCTTGACGCAGATTACTACGTTGGTGATTATGCGCACGTGCCGATCGAGAGTGACAATGACTCTAGGTAATAAGTTTCCGCGGTTATTTACCTATTTTCAGTTCGGACGATGAGCTGCAAAACGAGCTGAAGCGATTAGCCGGGATACCGAATTGTGCTCAGACGAAGAAGGAGAAAGGTAAGGCTGGATTTCTTGTGTTTTTTATTAGTTTTTCAGAACGCAATGAATTTGTCGACGAAATGGAGAGCGATTTGGACGAGAGCATCACCGAATATGCCCGGAATCACATGGGCGGGTCGAACCAGAATCTTGCACAGGTTTTTTTTAACTAATTTCCTTTTAGAAATATATTTTTTTTTAGATAGAAGCTGCGCCGCCGCCTCTCGCTGACCCGGCCGGCGATATAGAAATGGGCTTGACTTCTCCTGGTAAGGTTTTGTTTTTGAAAAAATTAGATTTTTAGGCCCCTCGAAATCTGCGCTAAAGTCACCGGCACCCGCCAGCCCGCAGCTCTCCAAGAAAAAGAAGAAGGTCACAATAAACGAGGACGTCGCTATGGAGGGCGATGATGAGGAGCCGCCATTGGAGGAGGACACGACGAATCCGATTAAGAAAATGTTTAACGAAAGCGTCAAGCAGGTTTATAATGTCATTTTATTTTTTATTAAGATTTTTAGGCAAAGGCCGAGCGGCCCGATTTCTACGATTCTGATGAGGATGAAGATAATGAGCGCTGGATAGCCGATCAACGCCGCAGGAGCAAGGGGCAGGGCTCGTCGAAAATGAAGGATTTGAATGAGAAGCAGAGGAGGGCAAAGGTAACTACTTTAAGGCGTTCAAAAGTCCAATTTTCTTCAGGTTGACGACGGGTCTGACGCCGTTCTTTCGTGCCCCGGTTGTATGTCCCTCATCACCCGCGATTGCCAGCGACACGAGTTGTATAAGGATCAATACAGGTAAATTTACTTTTTGTTTTGAAAAAATAATTTTTAGAGCAATGTTTGTCGAAAACGTCGAAGTCCTCGACGAGCTGATGACGATTGAGGCGACCGGAAAAGCGAAGCGAAACAAGCGCAAGAAGGCCCGAAAAGCTGGAGTTGAGGTTTGGATCCGCAGAACCGTTTTTATTCTGATTTTCAGCCCCAAGCCACCACCGAAGATCTCTTTTACGCCGTCGTCTGCTCGGTGTGCCGGACTTCCGTCGGTGTCGCCGATCTCGAGGAAGTGTACCATTTTTTCAACGTTCTTGCCGGTTACTCTTGAGCTGTGATTTTTCTTTGTTGACATTTTGCGTCAATTCCGGTGGCCGATTTCTGCCCACGATCTTGTTTTTTTCAGTTTCTGTTGATTTTGACGTGATAAACTGATAAAATGCATTGATTTATATACATTTTATTTTCCATAATTATAATTCTGTACAACACCCGGGCAGCCGCCGTATTGATTGACGTATTGGACGCTATTGCCATTGACACAGTAGCACTGGTACCACCCACCGTTGATGCTAACGGCTAAAAGAGACGTTTACCCGTTTTAAAAGTACTTGTAAAACGCATAGCATGGGGTAAATAATTTTCTTACGAGTGCAAGTTCCGTAGTTATAATAGTTGTTATAATTGTAGTAGTTGTTTTGATAGCCGTAGCCGCCGTATCCATAATATGGACGGTATCCGTATCCATAACCATAACCTGGAGATTTTTAAATTAAAAAATTGCTATTTTGATTACCATAGGGACGATAGCCACCATATAGCCCTAGAAGTCCCAAACCTCCGAGCCCACCACCTCCGTAGTAGGGCCGTCCTAAAGGTTTGGATAAAAATGGGGATCTTTCTCTATCTCTATCTCTCTCCTTCTCTCTCTCTCTCTCGACTTACGGTAGTAGCTGCCTCCTCCCCATCCTCCGCCACCTCCACCCCAGTGATGCGGATGATGGTGCCAACCTCCGCCTCCCCATCCTGGAAATATGCACAAGTTATAGCAATGTAATCTGGCAGAACTGTTACCGCCGTGATGGCCCCAATGGTGCCCACCTCCTCCTCCACCCCAATGATGGCCACCGCCGCCACCTCCCCAGTGATGGCCGCCACCTCCTAAAAAGCACAAATTTATAGGCGGAATGTGTGGTGAAGTGTACTGCTTATACTAATAGCCGTATGATTGGCTAAATTTAGTTACAGCTTTGGTCTAGCGACCACGGAAAGCTTGTAAATACCATTGCATCGTGTTTGTAGTTCAAAGAGCGCCTACAGGTTGGATTTTGGGGGTGTACGCTTTGGTAATGCCATGGTATTACATAGCCGAGCTTGTCTATACTATTAATATGCTTCTAACTAACCCCCGTGGTGCCCACCACCTCCATGATGGCCGCCACCTCCGTGTCCGCCGCCATGCCCGTGGGCTTGAGTGTAGAGATCTGAAAAATGGTTTAGGCTTAGGCTTTGGCTTGGGCTTAAGCTTTGGCTAGTGCTTTCAAGCGAAGCAGCTCGTCGCTCTAGACTCACCAAAACATGTCGAGATCAACAGGAAAGCAAGCAATTGAGCACCAGATACCATGGCAATTCTAAGAAAAGACCTTAGCCAGCTGGTGGCTGGCTTCCCGCCCTAAATAGACCGAAACTAGGGCCGATTTGGCTAGGCAGCGTTTGGCGAATAGTCCAAAGATTCGGGCAATCAACTCTTTGCGGTGAGAACCTGATCTTGTGGAGCACGAGAGAGGTGGTCAGCGGAGCTGGAGTCGCAGCTAGAGCTCGTTTTGTTGATTTGTGCAAAGAACAGTTCAGCGATGGCGGTTTGTAGGAGGGTCTGGCTATGGTTGTCTCTCTCTCTCTCTCTCTCTCTCTCTCTCTCTCTCTCTCTCCCTTTCTCTGCCGCGATCATCCTGAGAAAAATGTTCTCGGGGTCGGAAGATAGCCCTTGCTATTCACATTGACCTCTAGCGAACTAACCCCCCGTGCTAAAATACAGATGAAATGAAATCCTGTCTAGAGTAGTGCAGAGTAGCATATCGTACTCATGACATGCAGTGTGCTACCAAATGCAACTCGCCAAATCCGCCTTCCATCCGAGGCTAGGTTGGCGAATTTACAGATTCACTTTCAGGGCAGGGCAGAGGAGAGAGTGAGGATAAAAATAAACCCATAATTGGCCACCGGTAAATACACGGTTTACAGCGGTTTTCGCAAGAAATGATGTTGTTGTTGATGGAATGGAACCAAAAACAAAAACATGATTTCCCGGGGGAATCGGGGCTCGGACCTGCGATATGTTGCAATGATCAGTATAAGCTTCTGCTAGTATCGCGCTAGGAACACCGTAGCCTGGGCGGAAGGTACTAAAAATTTTTGCCGTTAAACAGAGTCAAGCGATGGAAACTGTTCTCTTCTTTTTAATCAACGAGCGTCAAGATACATTACTTTAAAGGCTCGGTAAAAACCGCTTATTAAACTTTTTTCGGATTTTTCAAAAGCTACTTGTTAGTTAAAACCTATCGTAACCGGTTATTGTAATGTTTTGAATGGCTGCAAGGTGATGTCTTGGTCATTTTCTATCACTGAACAGAATTGAACCATAATCCGGACGGGGATCATCCTTACACGTCAAAATCCCGACAGCCAACCTCCCGATATCCAACCTCCCGATGGCAAGAATGGGACAGCCAAAATCCCGGCATATTCCCGCCCGTTTGGATACTTCCTTTCAAGCTGCTGTTTTTCAAGTCTGGGTTTTGGCTGTCGGGATACTGGCTGTAGGGAATTTGGCTGTCGACGTTTACCCCACTGAGAACACGATTATTTCTGCAGTACAATGTTGAAATTCCGTTACACTCCTCCGTACGATGCTCGTCATCAGCACGCACCACACTCCAAATATGTTTCTGACCCCCGCCCCCCGACCGCTCCCGTGGAAGTCCATTCCGTCCATATGATTGGCATTCAACGGATCGATAGCCGGGGCCGGGCCTCGCTCTCGGGGGGAACCCACCCTGGGTCGGCTCTCCGTCCTCATTATTTGTGATTGATACGTTTCCATAAAGGCTTGGGGTGTATTTGGGCTTCGTATCTAGCTAGTTAGCTGTTTCAAAAATTCTTTGGCTGATTGAGCTTTATAGGCAATTTTTAATCAATTCTACCGTTTTTAGACTAGTTTTGACGCAGAATTGATCTCTAAGGCTAAAAAGAGTCTTTTTAAAAGAGGGCTTTTGGTTTTCGCAAAAAGAGACGGATTCTCGTGGCAACAAAAAGTGCTAAATTCCTTTCAAACTCCTAAAATGCCACAAAATGCGGGAACAACAAAAGGTTGCTGGCTATTTAAAATCTTAATAAACTCGGTACCATCCCAGATCACAGGTCAATCCACAGTTTAATTTCAAGAAAGTGTAAATAGAAAATAATACAGAAATTATTTGCAAGCCGAAACCGCTAGAAACTGGATCTGTCCATTTTAATAAGGTGCCAGCAACTTTTGGTTGATCCCACATTTTGTGGCATTTTAGGAGTTTGAAAGGAATTTAGCACTTTTTGTTGCCACGAGAATCCGTCTCTTTTTGCGAAAACCAAAAGCCCTCTTTTAAAAAGACTCTTTTTAGCCTTAGAGAGAATTTAGCCCTTTTTGCCTCAATCTTATTGTTAAGATCGTAAAATAAGCCAATGAATACTTATTCAGATGAACTCTTGTACGCAAAACTTCAAAAAAATTTGCCTGCGGCGCTTTGTAACGGCACTAGAAACCATCAGAATGCACGGGGGCCAATCGGCAAAACGTATGTTGCGGGTGGGGTTCGAACCCGTGGGGCAAGACTTCCCAGTACAGCGTGCTAACCATTAGGCCAACGGGGAGACTGGAGGCCTGTCTTGGGGAAGCTAGACCCGCCCGCCCTGTCTCGGAACTGGGGCCGCCAAAGGGGAGGGTGGCGTCCCGTATGGCGAAGGTTTAAAGTTATAATATCTCAGAGAAGAAGCATTCTTTCGATGTAATTTCTTCTTTACTTTATCTGGCATGGTCTAATGCCTATTTGAGCAAAATTTCAGCCCAAACGGGCATCACTAACCCTTGTTTTGGCCGCAATTTAGCTTTTAAACTTAAAAATTAAATATAAATTTTTTAAAAGCCTATTTTGAAAAAAACTCTTCTTGCGGTCCGAGATTATCATTCACCCAATAACTGTGCAAAATTTCAGCCCAAACGGATGGTGGGAAGGCACTTTTTGACGACTACAAAGGTTTTGCGTGCATACCCACATACAAACAAACGCAGACCCCCCCCCTCGAAACGCAATTTAAATCGGCTGTTAAAATTCGAAATTTCAATCTTTTTCAATTTTTAAAAGCTTATAGTATGTAAAAAGTGTCGCCGGTTCCGATGGTGTATTCAGTTTTGCGATCCGATGCTTAGTTCTTTTTTAAATCCGGAAAAGGACCCCAAAAGAGTCGTATGGGGGGTACCTCAAACCAAAAGGGGTTAGCGGGCTACGCCCGCTAACCCCGATTGCCATTTTTGAAATTAGGAAAGGTTTTCGATGCCCTTATTTTACTTTCATGCTTCAGAAGTAGTTCCATCCAATTTCCACTACCGGAAACACCGCTTTAGAGGCTTTATAATTCTTAGACCATTATTTAGGCTGAATTAAATGCAATTTTCAGTTTAAGGAAATTTTCTTATTAAGATCGTGCCCTTACAATCGTCCCGAATACCTCCATTGATTCCCCACTGCCGGAAACACCTCGTTTCAAGAGAAAAACCTGACAGGTCGGCGGACGGATTTCTCAACCCGATCCGCTGGGTGACGTTGTTTTTCCCCCAGTTCCACCAACCTCTAGTCCCCCTTTTCCGCATCGTTTTCTCGTTTTTTTCTCTTCCGGGGGCTCCCTGCTGTGTTGAAGTGCTATTTTTGAGACCATTTCTGAATTTTGAGGCTATACATTCGCTTTTGAATCGAAAATCGAAGGTTATAATCGCGAATTTTCAGGCGAAAAAACCAAATCTAGTCTATCAACTACAGATGGATACTCCGGACAAGCAGCAGGAATTTGTGGGTTTTTAATTAGCTAAGGAATCATAATGTGTAGAAATACGGATTAGCTAGACAAACAAAACTAGATGTTTTTGTGCGTTTTTGAACGCTGGTATTTTGTTTCGAGTCGAAATTGCGTTTCGAAAAATTATAAAGTTACAAAATTTTAAAATTGAGCTAAGTTAAGCTCAAATATTATAAAAACCTTAAATTTAATTTCAGAATGAGCCGCCGCCACCGTACCCCGGGCCAGGCCCAGCCCACGTCTATCCAAGTGTTCCGGCCGTGAACCTGATGCCGGTGTATAAGCCGCAACTTCAGAACATGCAACAGGTAATTTTCATATATTAAATTATTATCTGTTAGTATTAATATTAAAGCCCGGTTTTGTGCTCCATGATAGCAAATTAATAAACAAAACACCTTTAGCCAATTCCCACGCACGTCAGCATCCCGGTTGTTACGGTCGGGCATATCGATTATGGACCGTACGAGCGCCTGATCAACTGCCCGTTTTGCAAGGAGGTAGGCTTTTATAGATACTTTTTAGCTATCATTAATGCGCTTTTAGCGCACAGATTTTGCAAATGGGTTGATTACAAGATTAAGCATCTACGGTCTTTTCCAGGAAATCATGACCTCCGTTGACTACAAGCTCGGTCGTTTCGCGCTCGTCGTCTTCTGCGCAATCTTGTTCTTATCGTGAGTTTTTAGACATTCAAGTTTTTTATATATGTTCTTATATCCATTATTAAACCGATTACTTCCAGGTTATTCATGTTCTTCGCTGTGTGCTTCCTGTGGGTCCCTTTCTGCATCAAGTTCTTCAAGGACGCCGACCACAGCTGCCCCAAATGCAAGGCCCACCTTGGAACGTACCAGAGGATCTAGAATTTGCAGCTTCTTGTGTAAATAAAGCTGTAAACTGTAAACATCGGAAACGTGAATGACACCGAAACGACCGATTTACAAAGAAATTTAACTTAAAAGACAGGCATCATTTCTGTTTTTTTCTGATTTTCCAATTTTAAAAGTCAATTCAAACTAAAGTAGCTTTATTCATTTGTTTCCGTTTCCATGAGTTTGCAGATGGTTTGATCATTAGAATCTGGATAAGAATATTTCACACAAAAAGGCATAAAGGATGTTCTTCCTGGGCGAGGAGGTTGGTTTCGACATTCCCTCGTTACGAATCAACGGCGAGTTAGCTACGGTAATCTTTTCAGGCAAATCCCCTAAACGAGGAGCCCCTGCCTCGGGGCAAGCGCCACTGGCTCGGCGTGGTGGGCGCGTACACCTGCCCGTCGTTCATCACCGTCTTCTGTAGGACACCGGGGTTAAATGGCGTATAAAAATTGACTTCTAGTGATGGCTGTCGTCAGTTTCGGCATATGGCTTTTCTATTCGTGGGTTTTTGAGGTATATGAATTTTAACGTAGAGGAGAACCCTCGAAACGGTATCGAATAACTTTAGCCCCCTGGCCGAAGTGTCCCCGCTCGGTGCCGTCGCACTTGGACTATGGGTATTTTGGACCCTTCTGAAGGTGTACATCAATCTGGCGGCCATCATTTATTATCAGAAGTAAGACACTATCGCTTAAGAAATAATGCAAATGTTTCAGGTTGGAAAGAAAGTAATGGCACAAAATCTTTAAACCGCTGTAAAAACCCGCAGGAACGTCCGATTTGAAAGTATGTTATGTGGTTTGGTAGATCTTCGGATGCTCTATCACGAGACGACCTTCAAAACACCTAAAAACTAATGTACGCGAAAATAAAGTTTCGCGAAGTTTCGCAGAATATTAGGTGAAAGCTTCCAAGCGAAATATCTTTGCATACAGGCATGGCATACGATACTTTTAAGACCAATCGATAGCCCTCGAGGAGTAGATATCGATAGATGTTGAGATCATCAAAATCGGACACTGCATGGCCGAGATATGGGCCTTCCAAAATCAATGCATTTTCTGGATTTTGGTTGGAAGCTGAAGCAAACGCAGCAATTTTTGGCTCGCGCAGGCCTAAATGTATGGGATTTCGAGAAAATTTCTAAGAAGTGGACCAAATTTCTAGGGGGCATATCTCGGCCATCCAGTGTCCGATTTTGATGATCTCAACATTTATCGATATCTACTCCGCGAGGGCTATCGATTGGTGTTAAAGGTATCGTATTCAAATGCCTGTATGCAAAGATATCTCGCTTGGAAGCTTTCACCGAATATTCTGCGAAACTTCGCGAAACTTTATTTTCGCGTACATTAGTTTTTAGGTGTTTTGAAGGTCGTCTCGTGATAGAGCATCCGAAGATCTACCAAACCACATAACATACTTTCAAATCGGACGTTCCTGCGGGTTTTTACAGCGGTTTAAAGATTTTGTGCCATTACTTTCTTTCCAACCTGATAAAAATCTTCTAAAAATGAAACATTCTCAAAAATTCTGGTAAGACTCCAAATACCCCCAGCCTCCAACTTTTGTATCTCGACGCCCTGTTCATCTACAGGTGTGTAAATGATATCAAAATGTTTGTCTTGCTCTGGCGAGCATTTTAGTGTAATTTACACGCCTGTAGATGAACAGGGAACCGAGATACGGTAGGCGGGGCCCGGCTAGGTGGGGGAGGTTATCTGGAGTTCAGCCAAAATTCTGTTTAGGAAAAACGATCCCGAATACCAAATGCGCCGGTTGGGAATGACGTGTAAGTTTTCAAAAAATTAATTACAGGGTGCCTCAAAAAAAAAGAACGAAGTTTGCACTGAAGTATCTCGCGAACGGAAACGAATCAAACAATCGTTACCTTGCCAGAATGCTTAAATATGCTGGGCATGAAGAAATAACACAAGTTGTTTTTTAAGATTTTTGACGACCCACTACTCGTTAAAAAGTTTTGAACATTTTTGAAAAAGTAAAAAACTTTGAAGACGAAAATAATGGAACTTTTAATGGGTTAGGGGGACATGTAGGGTATCAAAATGAAGCTCTCGGAATGCGCTATCAAATGCATCGTAAATATTATTGATCGATTTAACTAGCCGTCAATAGGAGCCTTCGGAAAATCCGGACTTTTCGAGAAAGGGCGATTCCGAGTTGACCATAGAAAGCCCATTGCCCTCATAACTTTTTGTATTTCTTAAATGTAATGCTGTTTGCCAAAGCTAATCATGTTACAATTTCAACTATATCAACGTAAAACTTGCAGTTTCGGCCGACTTGGCAAGATGCCAAAAATTTTTTTGATCGGGATTCTCAAAATCTTGATGCCAAAAGTTAGAAATTATCTCTTTATTGCCAACTGCAAAATATCAGAAAGATCGGATGGTAAGGAAATTTTATCTGGAATTTTTTCTTCAGAAATTCCGGATTTTCCGAAGGCTCCTATTGACGGCTAGTTAAATCGATCAATAATATTTACGATGCATTTGATAGCGCATTCCGAGAGCTTCATTTTGATACCCTACATGTCCCCCTAACCCATTAAAAGTTCCATTATTTTCGTCTTCAAAGTTTTTTACTTTTTCAAAAATGTTCAAAACTTTTTAACGAGTAGTGGGTCGTCAAAAATCTTAAAAAACAACTTGTGTTATTTCTTCATGCCCAGCATATTTAAGCATTCTGGCAAGGTAACGATGGTTTGATTCGTTTCCGTTCGCGAGATATTTCAGTGCAAACTTCGTTCTTTTTTTTTGACGCACCCTGTAAACTTACGTTACCTTTTTAAAACATTCAACATTCAAAATCAGTGATTAAAAGCACTTCAAAACCTCAAACCTATTTTCCAGCAGCGGGTCGTAGCGCCGAAACGAACCAGATGACCACGGTGGGCGGCTATCGCTACTACGAATGGGGAATGTGTCGAGAATGCGATGTGTAGGTTAAATTTAATAATCGATAATCCGTAATCTATAAAGTATTGCAAATACCGTACCACTTTTGCAGTGCTCGCCCCCTTCGCTCGGATCACTGTCAATTCTGTGGTGGCTGCTGTCTGATGCGGGACCATCATTGTGTCGTAATCGGCTGCTGCATCGGGCTTGGGACGACGGTGAGCGAGATAACGAGAGCGAGAGAGAGCGCGTATAAGCGAGAGAGAGAACGAGAGAGAAAAATGTCTGATAATTATCCTCTTTAGCGCTACTTCATTTGCATGCTGTGGCATCTCTTCGAGATTTGCCTCGCCGCCACGGTCGTGGTTTTCGCTTTTCATTGGGAACAGATTTACGGGTAAGCTCGGTTTTGAATTTTTTCTTCTTGCTTTGAATCTTTCGGATCCTTTCAAAACTTAATTTTTTTAGATGGCTTGTCTGGCCGAGCTTCTCGTGGCTGCGAAACCCGTTGTCCGACTGCCAAGGCGAGTACACGGACTGTGCCCTGGACTATTTGAACGCGATCGTGCCGACCGTCTACTATTTTGGCATCGTAGGCTTCATGCGAAGCTTACGTTTTGCCTCTCTAACTTATCTCTCTTATCTATCTGTCTCTCACTGTCTATCACGCTCTCGCTCTCTCTCTCTCTCTCTCTCGCTCTCTCTCTCTCTCTCTCTCGCTCACACACAACGAATTTCTTGATGACCCTGAAGAATTTCAGGTGCTGGCGTTCGCCATCGTCGGCGTGTGCGGCTCCATCTCGTTGCTGGGCATGCAGGTACGATTTTGATCATCTACCAATGGTATACGGCAATCACATAAGACTAGTTGTTATTCGACCCGGGTCGAAGTGGTCGAAACTTTTGTAGGCTCCCGCAGCGAAAACTTTGTAAAATTCATAACTTTGTTCTAAAGTAGAATTCCGCTATTTCGTCTTCATTTTTGATTCTATGAGATCATTTCCTACATTTTGAGTCCTTAAACTATAAGTTTTCATGCTAGAATCACAAAGAACGGCACACCATGGCAGTGGTAAGTGGTTCTGAGAAATGGCCGCGCGCGGAACAAGGCAAGCAGGCCGTTCTTTATGATTCTAGCATGAAAACTTATAGTTTAAGGACAAAATGTAGGAAATGATCTCACAGAATCAAAAATGAAGACGAAATAGCGGAATTCTACTTTAGAACAAAGTTATGAATTTTACAAAGTTTTCGCTGCGGGAGCCTACAAAAGTTTCGACCATTTCGACCCGGGTCGAATAACAACTCTACTTAAGACTTTTCAAGACCTTAAAACTTAGATGTACCAAATGCTCGTCGGATGCCTCCTCCTCGAGCACACCTGGTCCAAAAATGTCATCAAGACGGAGAGGCGTGGAACGACTTTTGGTGGCTCTCTCACTCTCGCTCTTTCCCTCTCTCCCTCTCTCTCTCTTATATTGCAAAATATCTTCGGCAACAAGAACAACAACTTTTTCCACTTCCAGCCCAGCGCTTCCGCTTCGTGATGGGCTCTAAATGGTGGCTGAACTTTCTGTTCCCCTACATCTGGACGGAAATCGAGTGGACCGACAGCTTCAAGGTGGAATCCCCTTGACTCAAAGAATTGTGAAATTTCTGTTTTCAGAACTCCATCCTGCTCTCCCCGTTGCTCGAGCCTCCTGAGAAGAAAGAAGAATAGTCTTCCAAAACTTTCCTCATTTTTCGCGTTTCATTTCCTGGTTTTGGATGTTCTTTCTTGGCCATTTGGGAGCCATTTTTGTGTCGGAATAAAGTTTTCTAACATGTGGGGTACGATACGAAACCCTACGCTACAGAAGAAAAACTAGAGGTTGCAAAAAATCCATTTCCTTGAATCAAAATCTCCATATATTCATACCAAACATTTTTTCTGATGACACTCTCTCTGAGCATCACTACGTTCAACGCCAATAAATAGTCCCAAAACCGAGCAGCAAACATACCAGATGTGGGGGCCAAATAGAGTAGAGCCTGTGCTTATTCAGCTGACCCCCCAATAGCTCGGGCAAGCCAAATCGATCGATTCGAGCATTGCGCCCAACACCAGCCGCCGTTCGCCCTTGAACTCATTGTTTCGAGCTCGTTTTTACACTTGTAACTCGATACTGCGCTTCTCCCCAATTTTTGTTGGGTTGCGCTGAAATTGGCAGTGGGTTTTGGGTTACTCGGCTCATTCAGAAGCCGCTTGGGTCTTTTTTGAAATTTTTAGCGATCGTAAAGTAAAAAAAATAGAAGAAACTTGCAAGGGCCACTTAGGTTTAGACTTACTTACCTGCAAGGTTAAGGCTTCGGCTCAGGCTCAGGTTCTTCTTTGAGAACCGTAAAATAGAACTCGTTTTTTTGTCCACACCGTTTCATTAAGTATTTGATCCCGCACCCCATTTTCACTCCACCGTTCACTTCCCAGAAAAATACGATCACCACCGACAACCCATCTCCTATTTCGCCTTTTTCCGGCATCAACATCCCGCCCTGTTTCTCGGTATCTATCGAAACGGGGGGTGGTGACTACCGTCCCTGGCGGCCGATCGGCTGCGTGGAAAACGGGAAGCAAAAAAGTGGACCGTTTTCAACCCCCCGGCCTGAAGGTCATTTGATTTTCGGGGGCAGCCGCTTCCTTCATTTCCTTGGAACTTGCGAGTTGATTGCGTCCTTGGAATGGCAACTGAATTTAACAAGGCTTAAACAGACTGATTTTGGCTTTAACTAAGCGGTAACCAAAAAAAATAATGCCTGCATGCTTTTCGCGCTTTCTAACTTTCTAACATTGCACTTTCTCTCATTCGCTTTCTCTCTCTCTCTCTCTCTCTCTCTCTCTCTCTCTCTCTCTCTCTCTCTCTCTCTTGCGTTTTTGAACATCCTTTGACCTCACCCGTGTAACCTTATTAATCCGCTGGGCAGAAAAGCTCCGTTATCACATTCCCGCTGTTTTTTCTGCACGATTTACAGCTTTTTCTGGTGACTCATTTGGACCCTAGGCCCGACCCCCTCCTTGCCCTGCTGTTTCATAACCCGTTCCCCCGCGACTCCCCAGGCAAGAAGGACTGGCAAGAGTGGAGGTGCGGCTCCTGTTCCTTCCTCCTCCCAGCCATCCAACCAGCAATCCACCACCACATCGATCTCACCCGCTGGCATCCATTTTCATGAGCAAGTAAATTCGCTCGGGGCTGCTGTGATGGTTCCCTGCTTGTTAACGGAAATCTTATTTTTCCTGTTTGTGCCAATTTTGAAGGTTAGGCGTAGGCTTTGGCTTAGGATTAGGCTTAGATTCAGGCTTAGGCTTGTTAGGCTTAGGTTTAAGCTTACGCATAGGCTTAAGCTTATGCGAGGTTTAGGCTATACGGCGTTTTCATTTTTTTAACGCTTCGCCTCGGTCTAAATTAGGAATACAGGGAAATCCATTTCTACCCCCCCGCCCTCAAACGAAAATTGCTACCCCCCCCCCCTTTCCCGTTTTGTTGCCTTCTCGGGCTTCCGGAAAACACGTTTCTCCGGCCCTGCCAAACCAAAATATCGGAATTTGTTCGGCATCACGTTTCTTCTACCTGATTTTGAAATCTGGTGCAACCCAGTTGTTGAGCTTTGTGCTTTGCCGTGAGTCATCCAAACTTCATGCAAAAAGGCTTTTCCTGGGACCCTCCGGAAGTTCGTCAGCAGCACAAAGAGACCCTGAAACTCTCGGCCCAAAATAGCACAAAGTAGCTACTCCCCAACATCTGGGATTGGCCAAATTTTTGGCTGGGGAGAGGCGGCTGGGTAACTGCCTTCATTTGTCGGCTCTTAGTTGGAAGAAGCTTTTGAGAGCGAGGTTCTGAATGTGAGACTCCTTAGAAGGCCAGAAAAATTCAGCAGTTTTGGGACTTGCTCACCTCTTTTAGGTTACACCTATCATCTAATTTTCCTGGAAGTGACACTTATTAAAATCGAACAAAATTAATGGTTATCTGGACTATTTATTACTTTCCTTCGCGACTTCATTTTGATTTTACAGTCCACTCTTGTAAATGACGCATTTCTTTGGCCCGGTCCCAACACGATCCCGCCCCGGAAAATCGATGTTGTTTGCCCCGTAGCATTTGCTTTTCGAAGCGGCGGCTAGCGGAAACATTGTAGCCCCCAAGCTCCCCTCATAATATCTTGTAGCCAAACATCAATCCTCTCTTGTTCTCCTGAATATTTGACCCGAACCGCTTTTTTTCTGCCCCTGACACGCTCATCGCGTTATCGTTGAAATAGGGGTTGTTTGAGCAAATAGGCCCCGTTATCTTGCCTATGATTCAGCGAAACCAGCCGGGCCAAACGCTTTTCTTTTGCTGCTTTTGAACGATGTGGCTGGCCGGAAATCGATGGCTTTTACGAAATATTTCAATTTTCAGCCCTCTCGTGATATTGTGTCTGGATTAGAATAAAAATTCAATTTCTTTGGGTTTCAGAAAACTTGAAAGCCGCCGTCAGCCGAAGATGGGTGACGAGAAAGGAGCCGAGGTGGGTTTTTGTGGATTACTGGCAGGGATAAGCTTAAAAATCAAGAGTTTTGTTAAGCTTTTAGGCAAATTTTGGAGAACTGTCCAAGTATTTATATCGTTAGATTTAAGCGTACTTATCGCGCTTATGTGGCCTTAAATCTCGAACATGCGCAAAACTTTAGGCTAGGCGAAAAGTAACGGAGTTGTAACTAAGTAGAGAACTACAATTATTTGAAAGTTTTCTCCTCAAAATTTGTGAATAAAACCGGAAGCTTATCAGGCCAGATCTTTCGACCGGAAGTGCTTTAAGAGTTGGTCTACAAATTTTTGTGACATCATAAAACGCATAGAATATATCATGAAGTATCTCATAAGTAATAGTAATATTTTTAGCACATGGCCGCGCCGCCCCCCGTACCCGGACGCACAGAACAGCAGCGTCTACCCGTCGGTCCCCGGCCCGGCTCCATACCCGCAGCAGAACTACGGCGCCTACCCGCCCAGCCCTCAACCCCAGATGGTAGGTTACGGGGGTTTTAAAGGTATACAAAAATGGTAGAAAATTAGAACAGTTCGAATTGGTTTAATTGGCGTCAAAATTAGGGGTATATAGCTGGTTAAACTAGCAATAAATATTGAAACTCTACCTCAAATTCAATTGTAAACGCCAAAATACGCTGATTACCCCAAAGCGAACAGTATAATTTTGCCCAAAAAGCCTATTTTCTTCGCCAAGTTAGGCCGTTTCGAAGCCCGAATCATCCAAAAAAACTTTCCAATTTTCCTTCTGACTTAAATTTAAACCCAAAAGTATGATTATAAACGAGGATCCTACTATATCCTACTATATATAAAAAAAATAGTGGTTGTGTGTGTGTGTGTGTGTGTGTGTGTGTGTGTGTGCATTTGCATGCAACTTCCGTCCGTATGTTCCAGTCGTATCTCAATAAAGGAAGAGGTTAAGGGCATATATGATACGTCATTAGGTGCGTAATGGTCATGACACGACTGCACACCTATCAGATTTTTTAAAAGCAGCTGTTTTCGATATTAAAATTAAGTTTTTGTGAAAATCCCGCTCAGCCTCTTTGTTAAGAATCAATTAGCATGCACCGGAAGTGTGGGGAACCTATATAATGGGGGAGAGGACGCGATTTTCATTTTTCTGCACAGGAGTTCAGGGGTTTATGCAAAGGGAAGATGCATGGGGGTGAGACGGGTCCAGGGTTGAAACGTCGCGAAGCGGCTTTTCAACCCTGGTAACGTTTAATTTTATACCTTACTTGTTTATTATAGCATCAGTACCCCTCCCAGCCGACCTATCAGGTAAAAACGGCCGCCTAACCGAGCTACTTGTTTTTTCTTTTACTTTCACATTTTCTGCTCGGAAGTAAAGTTAACTTTCTCGTTTTTTTTGGAATTGGAATGTGCTTGAAATTTCTTGGTGGTGGTATTGCAACTTCGCGCAGTCAAGCTCATTATCGCAAATTATCACAATTTCTGCAGCCCAGCGCCCCGGCCCACGTCATCACCGTCCAGCCGACCACCGTCATCCTGAATCACCAGCTCGGGCCCTACTCTTGCTCCGTCACCTGCCCGAATTGCCACCAGGTGAGGAGCAACAGTTGATAAAGGGAGCAAGTAAATGGGATTTTAGCGGCCAAATTGGTTTTAGAAAAATGATCTTGACACGAAAATCTTGTCTTTTAAGCTAAAAAAAGAGTTTTAAGCTTTAAAAATGTTTTATTTGGACAACAACCGAGGCTCTGGATCAGAAAGGCTACGAAAAGGAAATGAAAAAGCGTCTTTTAACTAAGCACTTTAAAAAAAACTTGAATGTCTCTGAAATGTCGATTTTAAAAATCAGAAAGACCGGGACGGTAGGTACCCTAACATTAAAGGGCACGTTCAGGGACGTTTTTTTGGAAAAAAAGCAAAGATTTTTGCCGCGGCCGGGGGTCGAACCCGGGCCCTCCGCTCGGGAGGCGCGGATCCATACCAGTCACCCACAGCTACAACCTGGCGAGGGGAGCGAGGGGCGCCCGACGCCGCAAAGGAGGTGGATGGCCTGTCACAGCACGGGCAGGCGGTGCGCGCGGTCCCTATGTCCATAGGGTGTATACGTTGGATCGAGTATACGGCCCCTCCCTGAACGTGCGCTTTAATGCTCAATATCTAACGATCATAACCAAGTAAATACAATCAAACAAAAATATTCCAGACCGCCTCCACTGAAGTCATCTACAATGCCGGACTCTTTGCCTGGTTGATTTGCGGAATTATGTTCATCTTTGGGTGAGCATCAAGTTTAACTTTTCAAGCTTACCGACTTAAAAATAGTATTTTCAAAGTATTGATGTTTCAAAGTACTGCTTAAACTCTAAAATTCCAGATTCTGGTGCTGCTGCTGCATCCCGTTCTGCATCGACTCGTGCCAGGACGCCGAACACCGCTGCCGCAACTGCCGTCACTACCTCGGCACCTACAAGCGCATGTAAAACGTCAAAAATACTGTTTTACGAAGCGATTCTGTACTACCAATTTCACACTTTGCTGATGCCTTGCAACGCTGGTTCACTTAATAAACATGTCAAGAGAATCGGAAGTACTGCTACAAAAGATTGTTGAATTGACCTAGCATAACTATTACAAACAAATTGGTGGTGCAATAAACAACAATTCAAAAAACGTCAAGAAGAAAACAAAAATAAAGAATTTAAACTTCGACAGCCTTACATTCAGTCCGTGGCTCCGTTGCTTAGACTACGCTAAGCTACAGCGTACGTCGTTACGATAGGAAATTGAGACTACGTTACGCGCCGTTCCAGTGCGCGCTTTTCGATAATTCAAACTCATTTCCTAAGCGTTAGCTTGCCGATTCGACATGCGTTGAACGTGTTCCTGCCCCTTTTTCAAATTCCACAACTTGCCGGGCGCGAGAATGCACCAATTACGCCCTGGAATCCCCGCCTTTTGCGCATTTTGAACCCGCGCTCCGGTTTAACCTACTGAAATTTACGAAGGTTCCATTGTAAATTTGTGTTTTTACATGATTCATTTCTACCATGTACAACGAGAGAATTTGCGACTTTTTACCCACTCATTTATTACGTTTTCAAGTTTCAATTGTTGATCTTTCTTGCTTATTGAATTTTTCTTACTTTTTAGAGCCCTCTTGCTGCGTCAAAACAACTGAAAAGGGCTCAATGAGGGTCTTCTCGGTCCCGTGGATACATCATGAAGGTAAAACCTGTTTTTCTTTTTCTTTAATTGTTTTGTTTTTCAGGCGACACATTCTACTCGATCGACATCAGCCCGGTGACCGGAAAGATTGCGACCTCGGGCCCTGATGGAATCAAGGGGTAGTTTTTTGCTTATTTGGTTTTTAGCCCGATGTTTTTAGTGCCGTCCGTATCTGGAATTCATACGCTATCGGGCGTGAAGACGAGAATCCGAGGCCACCAATGATGTTGAGCTCACTGGAATTTGATAGTAAGAGTTAAAATCTGGTGTTATATATTTTTTAGAGCATGTGAATTGTGTCCGGTGGTCCCGGGATGGGCAGCAGCTGGTTTGTGGAGATGATGCACATGTGGTATGCCTCAAAATTTAATATTTAGCTCTATACTTTTTAGGTATCGGTTTGGACGTTCGCGGGCGGTCTGCAGTCCGCGGGGACAATCGGAAAGCGACAGGCGCTTTTGGAGCGCTATGAACGGCGGCACGTCATGAATTTTCATAGAATGGAGGTAGGAGAGCTATATTGATTGAGGTATCATTTTAATTAACCTTTTCTAGGTATCGGCAGTCGAATGGTCGACCTGCGAGCGCTATATGGCTTCTGCGTCTATCGACGGGTTGGTGGTGATCTGGAATGCGAGGTCTCTCCCCGATCGTGTTGCCGTGCTCGACCGCAAAGCTGAAGGGCACACCGGATGTGTGAAAGGTATTTTAAGAGTTAGAAACTAATCTGTTTTTGTTTAGGTCTTTCCTGGGATCCGATCGGCACCTATCTGTGCACCCACTCGAACGACAAAACGTTAAAAGTTTGGCGAACCGAGACGTGGAAGCTAGATGTGACTATCAAAACACATTTTGAAGAAGTATGCTCATTATAACGTAATGCTATTCTTTTTTAGAACATTCCTTCCATGTTTTCCCGTCCCGACTGGACGCCGGATGGTAGTTTTATGGTTGTTCCGGTTAGTTTTTTTTGAAAACCAGCGTTTTTCGTCAAAAGTTGTAGGCTTTGTCATAGGAAAATAGTTTTTTTTTTTTCAGAATGGCTGCAACCAGTTGATGCCCTCATGCGAGATCATCACCCGCGGCGACTGGGACAAGCCGCGCTCCTTTATCGGCCACCGGAAACCGGTCACCGTCGCTAAATGCTGCCCCCCGAATGTTTCACTACAGGGATGAGCAAGGCATTCGAAGAGAGGTAGGTAGATTTTCAGGTTTATACCGCCTCTTACGCCTTTTAGATCAACTTGGTCGCGCTGGGCTCGATGGACCAGACACTGACGCTTTGGGCCATTCCGTGGACAACTCGACCCCTCGTTAACCTTCAATCGATCGCAACGGTAATTTTTTGTCGAAATATCAGTAAATATGTCACTATTAACATCAAATAAATATTTTTTATCTTTCAGCAATCAATCATCGACCTAGCCTATTGTCTCTCCGACCTGTACGTCGTCTCCAAAGACGGCCGACTGATCGTCGTCAAGCTGGGAAGTGCCGAGTTTGGCGACATGTTCACGCTGGACGATATGGCCGAGACTTGCCAGAAATTGTACAAGAAAGTCCCGCCCCGATACGCGGAAATGGCCGCGACACCGAAGATTGTCCGACAAGTAAGAGAAAGGCGAATATCTGACCTGTTTTTAGGATCATTTCGAGGCCTCCGCTTTGCGCTCAAGTGCTGTCTCGCAGCTCTCGGCGGAAAGAATGGACATTGGCGACGTTTCGATGATGTCAGATGGGAATACAATGCCTGGCCGCGACAAACAAATCAATGTTTGTATTATTTTTTAAAGGCCTTTTATTGTTATTTTTAGACCAAAGACGAAAAAGGACGCCGGCGTGTGCAGCCCGTCTTTATGGCCTCGCTGAACGCCGCGCCGTTGGGCCCGACGACGTTCGCTATACCGAGTCCGAGGTAGCTTTCTAAACTATGTTTGAAATTTCGATAATCCTAGAAAATTACCAACTTCCCCGGTCAAGCGCATCGAAAAGATGGAGGTGGACAACACGATCGTCTCGAAGAGCGTGGCAAGGCCGGCGTCCCCGGAAAGCGCCCGCCCGCCAAAGCGAAAGCGCATCATCTCAGAGACGGACGAGTCTGAGCAGGAAGAGGAGATCTCGGCGCCCATCAAGCCGCACTTTGACAAAAGCGCTATACTGTAAGGCTTTCTCAAAAAATTTTTATATCTTTTTTCTATAGCGCCGCCGATTTCAAGAAGCCCGTCCTCCGCGTGCTCGAAGCCCCAGGCCCGCTACGCGCAGTCGACGGGGCGCTCACGATTCCGGATGTGAAAAAGACGCTCACCGAAAAATTTGCGGTAATATATTGAGATTTTTCTGAATCATTGTTGATTTTTTAGCCAAACGAGGTGCTGGAGGTGGAAAACGACAGCTTGGTGAGCGCACTGGCTGGGAAGGGCGCTCGAATCGCGAGGATCCAGAATGGCACGACGAAATGGACACGTTACGCGGTGCAGACGGTCGTTGTCGTCGCTTCTAACAAGTAATGTCTTTAAAATCTTACCGGGTCTATATGAAATGAGAGGTTGTTATTCGAAAAATGTTTGGGATTTGAAACGTTGGTTAAAATCGATAATTTTGGTTCGAAAATCGTCATTTTTTGTGTGTCAAGACTTTTAGCGTTTTTGCAGTTATGGTTGTTAAAAAAACATCTTAAAAATGGTTCCTGCTGCAAAGATTTGTGTTTGGGTTTGTGCAAAGACTGGCCCCTTTTAGGCAATACGTCGTGACGGGCGGCATCGATCGGGATATTCAAATCCTTAACGCCGACACCGGACGATTGCTGAGAAATGTAACAATAGACGCCGTCCCGGTTCGCGTCGGCGTGCAAAAACATTTCGTTTTCGCGCTCACGGCAAGCGGCACATTCCACTCATGGTAAATCCTTATTGCCTCGGCCAAGTTATTTTTCAGGAATGCGCGCGACTTAGTGAGGATGCTGGACCGTGTGCCAGTGTTGCACCTGATACGAGGAGATGGTAGGCTCAAGTTTTTGTACCAATATATGAATTTTTGCTTTCAGACCCCACCATATCGTCGGTGACCCTCTCGGAAAGCGGTACGCCATTGATAGGCCTCTCCACCGGCCACCTTTATAGCTACGATGCGGGCGATTGGTGGGTTTTTTCAGGATTACCAATCTAGAATTTTAGGCTGCTGATCGATCGCGGGCCCAGCGTGCTGACGCGCTGCTTCGGCGGCATCCCTGCCGGTGAATTCCGCGCCGGCGTCATCGCCAATCGACTCAAGAAGCGTCTAAAGTAGGTTATTAGTCCCGATTTTCCCGAATACTTTTTCAATTCGATTAGAAGAGGTTTTTGTACCTAAACAGCCTTAATGTTGCTAAAATGGCTGTTAAAATTCACATACTGAGACGTTAATAGCGGAAAAAAGAATTTAATGTAGTCAACTTCATTTTCTGCATTTTCAGCACGGATTTGGCCCCAGACGTTCCCGCGCACCGACGCGACCTCTGCAAGCAGGCGGCGCTCGAGGATATGATGAACGGCCTGCGGAATCTGGGGACTGCCAACGACTACAAGGACGTCTGCAAGCTCTACGTTCGACTACTGCTTCAAAAGCGTACGTTTAAGATGTTTATCATGTTAAAAAATAGAGATAAGCGACATATTTTTGTTTCAGGAAGCGAGGGAAAACTACAAGAGCTAATCGACGAGCTTCGCCGATTCCCCCGGACCGATGGCACGCTCTCCGAAGTACAGGATATGCTCAAGGGCGACAAGCACTTTGCCTACCTCGCCGAACCAAGCCCCAAACTCCCGCGCACCCTTTTCTAAAGCCTGCATTGGAATACGACCCATTTTGTTTCTATACCTTTAACTTTCCTTCTTTTTGATGTATTCGCACCGATCTCTTTCCCGCCTTTATCAAATGTTCCCCCGTAATCACTATCAGCTATCAACCCGACCCTCTCTAGTCTCATCAACCTGGCTTCTTCGATTCCAATGCAATACTGTTCTCTGAATACCCCGTTTTTCGCGATCTAATTGTTAAGTAATAAGCTTCTTACTGGTTTTTCATCCTGCCACGTGTGTTTTTCATTACCGGTGTTTTTGCGATAAATGTCTGCTCTTTCAGAATTGTGGAACTACAAATGTGGGCGATATAAACGATAACACGAACTTTTACTTTACGATTCTCTGATAGTTATCTTCGTCATCAAAATTAGGATCGATAAATCAAAGTTTAGGGATGGCGGAGGTTTCAATCAAAATTCTATTCTTTGCAAAAGCAAAGGATTTAGCTGGAGTCGATGAGATGGTAGGTGAGGACTGGTCTTACATTCTTACATCTTTTAGACAATTAAGCTACGTAAGGAATGGAGTTACGATGAATTGCATAAATATACTTTTGTAACGGTAATCGCTTTGTAATCAATCGAATGTCTTACGGTACCTAGCTGCTGCCAAAATTAGCCGAAATCGCCGATTCCTGCGTGCTGTCGGTCGATCAAAAATATGCGAGCCCGGGCGAGAATTTGGTATTGATGCCGAATTCAGAGGTAAGAGAATTTTATAAAAGTTAGCAAAAATAAAAAAAAACTTTTTAGATTGCCGTCATCCCACCATTGTCAGGAGGCTGAGAAAGTACATAAAAATATAATTTTAATGAATAAAACTAGAAAAAACAAAAGTGAAAGCGATTAGCATAAAAAGCAAAACAAACAACATCACCTAGATTTTAGAGCTGGTTTTATACAGCAGTTTTCTACAACCGATTTCGCCAGATCCCCCATTTCAAAAACGCAGGGATGCGGATCCGTGGTGCCCTAGATTTTCGCATCCGTCTTCCCGGCTAGTTGAGCAGCCGATCTGGGCTCAAAAATGGAATGCGCAAACGGAAAAGCGCGCCTTTGGCACTGTGGGCAAGGCGTTTCACTTGGTCAACATTTAGCCGGCGCCCCCGGCTGACCAGTTTATGACTACTACCCCCTATTCGTAGTAGGCATTTCTCGAGGAAATAGATTTTGAGTTTTGCAAATAGCGTTCGAGTTTTGCGGCGAGAACGGAATGGGCGCGGCGATTTCCGGCTTTTCTGTTTTTAGAATTCTCACCACTTTCTGGTGGTCGATATATTCCTATTAATGGGCTTACAGCCTTTAAAGTTAGCATTATAAGGTTTCGACGCGTGACAGAGTTTCGTTATTGTAGTTAAAAAGCATGCGCGTTTCGTGCCCGGCTGTCAAAAAATTCAATGTCTTCTTGACTTGCGCGACGTTTTTTAAGGCACGATTTTTCTACGGTAAAAAACGATTTTTTTTTAATTTTGCCATCACGGCGATCAACGGCTCGTGAAGACGGCAAAATCCTAGCTCCGTTTTACTCGCCCATTTCCAGCATTTTCAAGCTTTCAACGTCAGCTTCTGCCACACCGCTCCTAATTCCAGCTCCCACTCCCCTCGCGAATTACTTTCCCAACCTTTTAACCATAACACATTTAGGCCCCTTCACTTTCTACCTAGGGCGAGAAATGGATAGCCATTTCCCGCCGTACCTTTTACTTTCCGCCCCACCGGCCCTACCAGATTGGTTGACACCATTTTCGAGAAGGCGGGTGCCGCGGATCCGCTTTTTCCCCGGGAGCTTCCTTTCACGTTTAGGGGGCTTCGGGACATAATGGGTACTGGTAGGGGAAGAATGGCTCAATGCTGGGCTCGAGACTTTCATGTACCTTCTCGTCTTCAGTGTTTTTCGTGTTTTCAATGCGGCGATTTGAAAAGAGGAATTTTCTGGACTAACGGCTTTATTATAACGTTTAATGCAAAATCCCGTCCTTTTTCGGGTTTCCGGCTTCCTTCATTTCCTGGAATTCCACGTTTTTGAGAATTTTGAAGACGGAACTTGTAGGAATTCACATTGCATTTTTTGCCAAAACCCCGTCAGCTAAAATCCCGACAGCCCCGATCCCGACATCTGAAATGCCGACATGCAAAATAGCCGTTTAAAGATCAATGGCATTTACATTTGAAAAAACAGGGCACGTTAATGACCGTCGACATATTTGATATCGGGATTATTGCTGTCAGGTAATTTCTAATTAAAAGCTACGACTTCGACAAGCCCTCAAAAACCTAAAAAACCCAATACGTTTTTACACGCCTCTTTCACAATTTTTTATACAAGGTATAAAATGCCCGTCAGCTTATCCGCTGACTCAAAAACCCATCACCCCGGATCAGGGTCGATAGGGATGTGGAATTTTTTGAGGCGGCGCCCGATCCGGCGCGCTTTCTCCATCTTTTTGAGCGGCCCCTCTGGGTCACGGTCAACTCGGAAATGCCCCTAATTGTGGCGATCAGTGGGACGATTGGCTGGCTGGTCGGGGGAGAAGCCCATATTTTTAAACTTCCTTGATCGCGCAAGAATTGAAACTTTTCTACTACCGCTATTTGCTCTATTCGGTTTCCGGACTGCTTATCTTTGCTCGCTGATAATTTAATGGATCTGACGGTTGAAGCCGTTTGTTTCAGACGCGTCTTTTTGTAAGCTTGCCCCCCTTTTTCGGTCCATCACTTTCTGTGCCTATTTTTCTACGATTTTTTCATGCTTGGGTACACACCGCGCGTTTCGATGACCTTTGCCTGGTCGCCATTGGTTTTCCGAGCCGATTCCGGAAAATTTGCATAAATTCCGGGACTCCGGGGGCCATCGGGTTTTTCACAGCCCTTCTGCCCGAAACTGGTATATAAGTGCGCAACATTGTTTTATGGAATTTGCTAGTTCTGGCTGGGTCTTGGATCTCAAAAGTTCAGGCTCAAATTTCAGATGAGCCCTCGGGGCCTTCTCCTTATTTTGGCCGTCGCCACCCCGATTTTGGGAAACAGTTTGTTGAAGCGGACGATACATGCGGATGGGAGTCGAGGTGAGTTATGCTTATTACTAAATTTAATGGCTAAATCGAGCCAAAATTTTACTTTGGCTTCAACTTTTCTACCAAAATGCCTCTGTTTTAAAGACAATTTTTTTTATCTCTCTCAACATTCCACAACTTTCCACTCAAAAAAACCGTCTAGTAAAGCCGGTGCCCCCTAGTGCTCCCTGACTCGCCAAAAATTGGGTCAACCCGGATAAGTATTCTCTCCCCACTCAGCCAGCGAAAAGTCAACCCAATTTCTCGCGCTGCAAAGGAGCCCAAGGTTAGGGCGTATGGAGGTGGAGGGCATTGATTAACAGCAAGCTTGATCAAAGTCAAAGTGCAAGCTAGAGGCTCGAAAATACCTAGAAAATTATCTCCTGAAGATTACGATGCAAATTCACGCATCAAAATAGCCAAAAAGCGTAACTAACTTCCAAGAAACGTAAATCTAGGCAAAAATCGGGAAAACCAATTTTGCCTACCTTAAAAATGCTGAAATATTTATTGCATTTTGAACGAACGTTTTAGTACCTAAAAACTAGGCTGTTTTTTGTGCAGACTAGCTTGCAGAAAATGTAGTTCGAGTCCTTAAGACGTCAAAATACTTCAATTTTAGACTTTACCATCGTCAAACACATCCAGAAGAACACTTGCAGTTGCAGTTGCAAATGCGTCCCAGACTCGGTAGCTGAACAATGGCTAAGCGATCGTCACGAGCCGGTTAATAAGGCAAGATACCCCACGGATCTATGATTTTTTTGGATTTTAGCTAGTCGACGATGCTCCTGAATCGTCAGCAGTCCTAGAAGCTATTCTTGGTCCGAGCTCCAAGACCGAGAAATCCCCTGAAGCTGTTGCACAAAACATTGAGAAAACGCTGAGCCACTTGACTCCGGATAAACGTAAACCGGAAGTTGCCGCAACAGGTGCCGCTCAACAACGGCCAATGAAAAATAGTGTAGCCGATTTTGATGCGACAGCACCATTAGCCCACAGAGGTGGAAGTCGAGTTCAAGGAGTCAAAAATTTGAATCCAGTCGATACAACCTCAAGCTCTTCTACCGTAACCCCTTCCACGACTCCAGCAAGTTCATCAAACTCCGGTTCTGATGCAGATTGGACTGATGATCAAGAGACCAAGGATTCGTTGGCTTCCTTGAACAAAGAGGCTGCCAATTCTGAAGCGACTGATGTTACAAACGTTGCTAGTAGCAACTCGGACAAGCCCAATCCTACGCTGAAAGTGACTATCCACCCAGCTGCCGAGCCCACGGTGACGGTTCGGGTGATCGAGGAATCAAAATCCGAGACGACCACCGCAAAATTGGCTGAGAATATCGATCAACACGTTGAGGCGACGGAGCAGAAGAATGAGGTGAGGAGAACGAGCTTTTTAAAATATAAAGAGCGGGGGCGAAAAGCTAACCAGTTTTTGAGATTTCCAAAAATAATGTCCGAACTCGTTTTAGGACCTTCCTACCACTAAACCTGCCCTTCCGGATACGGAAACTACAGTAGCAGACACCACCAAGGTCACAGAAAAGGTAAGTAACTTTTTACATCCTTGAAAAATGTGTTGGAGACGGAGCCAGAAACTACTCCTCTCGCCACAACTACTGTTGAGCATACGGTATTTTGATCCGAGATAACCTCTATCCATTTCGATTTCTAGACAATGCCCCAGAAAGACGTTGAAACTACGCAAGCTACGCCCACGACCTCCAAAGCGGTAAGTAAAAGACAAAAATGGCATTTTGACATTCGAATTTAGGTGGCTACCACCGACGTCCCGGAAGATGAAGTCAGGACAACGGCTCGAGGTGCTGATCTCTTGACGTCATCTGGAATGTTTAGGAGTAAGTGATCTTTTTAGACGCTAAGTATATAAATTATGGATAGTAAATCAATTTAACTTCTCTTTAGCAAGCCCCCGTGAGCTGCCCCCACGATGGAAGAGCCTCATGGATCGCCTAAAAATCAAACTGGAAGAACTGAAGGCCAGAAAGCTGGCTGAAGCCGAAGCAAAAAAACAGTCCGAGTTGACTGCTGCCAAGGCACTAGTTCTCGGTGTTGAACCGACTACTTTAGCTTCAACTACGCAGCAATCCACAACCACGGTTTCTACATCTACCGTAACCCAGGCTACCACACCTAAATTGGTGCCAGCGACTTCTGAAGTAGCCAAAACCGGTGATGAAGCTCCGAGTGGGCTCGGGAGATTGATTTTGGAGGACAACTCATTCCAAGCTTCTGGTTCAAAGATCGTTACTGTAGATCCGGTAGCTACAGAGGCTACAACTATTATGGTAACTCCAGGTGCTGCTGAATCTACAACAAAGCCGGAAGCCGCAGCTTCTACAGTAGCTCCAGGTGCTTCTGAAGCCAACAAGAAGCCGGCAGCTGAGACTACAGCAGCTCCAGGCGCTTCCGGACCTACCAAAAAACCGAAAACATCTGAAACAATAGTAACGGGAGCATCAAGCTCCTCGGTTGCCCCAGTGACTTCAACAACTCAGGAAGCTCCAAAAACTCAAGCTTCTGAAGCTACGACGCTAACCTTGGGCTTGACGACAAATGCTCCTAAAGACGCACAGGCTTCGGAAAGCAGTGGAACAACCAGGATTGACTTGACTACCACAAAACTTGACGGAACCACGACTCCGACCACTGTAGGAGATTCTGATTTGACTACTACTACTACTACCGTACTTCCAAGCGTCGCTCCGACAGCTGGGGATGTGCGTCAGGCAGCTGGAGCTACGACGCCTACTGTAGCGCCAGTGAGCGATGTAACTCCTACTGCCGCTGTAACTCCCAAGGAGCCTGCGACGGAAACAACTAAGAAAAGCGCCATCCCGGTTACTGTAGCGACCGTAACTACAACTGAGAAAAGGTCTGAAACAAGTACGAATGCTCCTAACAACGCTACTACGAACGCTGCAACTACTGTAGCTCCAGAAACTTCCCGCTCAACTGATACCCAGACTAGTGCTGTACCGTCGACAGCCAAAACTAGCACTACTCAAGCTCCTACCACCCCCAAGACCACTGTAGCTCAGAACAATGATGCTACGGTGTCTACCAAGAATTCTGAAACAACGACAACAACAGGTTCGGGCTTAGAAATTGCTTTCAAGACTGCCCCTGCTGAAGAGAGCACCCAAAATTCTAAAGATGCTGGAGAAACTACAGTTAAACCGATAGTGGTCTTCCCGAAGAAGGGAAAGAAGGCAAAGGAGCAAGAGCTGAAGAAGAACAAAAAACAACAAGGACTTGAGATTGCGTCGGTTTCTGAAGAAGATGAGCCTAAGGAGAAGGAAGTAAAGAAGCAGTCCGTGAAAAATCAACAGAAAGTGAAGCAGCAGCAGCAGAAGAAGGGAAAGAAAAACAATAAGAACGATGATGAGGAGTATGAGGTGATCCCATCGGAAGAGGATCTGGACGATGAGGATGAGGAATCTGCGGAAGAGGTGAAGCAGAAGAGGCCGGCTTTCAAGGTAGGGTAACTTTAAATTGCCCCAAAACTTAAAAAAAAACCCGCAATTATTAGCCGTCTTGGTGTATTACGCATTTTAGAACTACCATCGCTATAAACGAGAGGTATTACTGGCTTTTATCATTTTATTATTTCTTGTCTGAGTCTAGAAGCTTTGATAATTCCATATTTAGACAATCCACGCCCACGATGATGGAAATGGTGACGAGAAGCCGAGGCCCGAGCACGTTAAGCCGGGCAAGGCGGCGCCTAAGCAAAAGCAAAAAAACTAATACGGAAAGCACCGTGGAAGAAAAGTGAGCCAAAAACCTAACTCTAAGCTTAGACCCAAGCCTAAGCCTGGGCTTAAGCCTGGACCGAAGCTTAGGATAGATAGAGATAGAGATAGAGAAAGAGAAAGATAGAGAAAGCAAGTCAGGTGAAACATTATTTTAGTACCACCCCACAACCCGCCTTCTTCACCCTACCCAACTTCAACAACAACTCCGGCAAGAACCAACCGGCTTTGGAATCGGCCAAGGAAGTCTTCGCAAAGCAGGGAATCAACTGGACCCCCGAAGAGGGGTAAGTTACCTGGGGTCAAATGTTTACGATCGAAATTTTCGCATTTTACCGAGTCTTACAACGTGCTTACTCTTAACGTTGGCATTAAAGGGCTGCCGACGGCATGTGTCGATCCCCCCATCAACAGATTGGCAAGTAGCCAACAGGGGAGAGAGCGCGCCCAGGGGAGAGGCGCAGAGACAATTTCTTTCCAGCGCGTAACCGATTGACTATGCCGTCGGCATCCCTTTAACGATACCTTAATCGTGTCAGCTTTATCACGCTTAATCCCAATGCGCGAAAAACACCACAAAATTGGCAAGGTTGGCAACTTGGAAGATGAAAAAGATGAAGAAGTGCCGGGAGTAGACCCAGCTGACGATGACCGACATCCAGAGACTAAAAACATCCTTAAATTTGGTTGGACCGAGGAAAGCTTCAACCTAACGCCGGAACGCTCAATTCCGGGCTTCTCTGGTTTTGGCCCCTCCTCGAATGGTAGTGTAACCAAAACGACACAGGCTAGGGAAACGAGACCCACGTCGATGATGACGAACCAGCCTAGAATTGGAGATAGAGTGCGGGAGTGCCAGAGAGAGAGAGAGAGAGAGAGAGAGAGAGAGAAAGAGAGAAAGAGAGCAAGACACAGAGAGAGATCAAACCCTACTGACCTAACAGCGGAAACGTTGTATTCCTCGGGATCGCCTCCGAAAGCATTTGCACAAATATTGTCATAGACATCATACTTGTCAACCCGATACTCAGCTATTTTTAATTTTATTATTAAAAGGGCTAGTAACCTTGGAAAGTTGCTCCTGCTGATCATTTTCCGTCCAGAACATTCCCCATATCGAGAGAAGCGTCAATAGGAAACACGGAACAACAATGACAAACACGTAGAAAGTTGGCTCTCGCTTTAGGTCGAGGTAGAATTGAAGCTAAATGGTTCCCATATCGAAAATTCAATATGGCGTTACTTACAAAATCATACTTTACGCCGCCAGTCCCATTAAACAGTTCGTACCAGACCGTAATGTTCTGGAAACTCCACTCCCCGTTGTCCTATAGTGAAGGCGGTAGAAAATGCTGAGCAATTCGACTTACATAAATAGTGCCCTCTTTATATTTGGTAAATAGGGCACCAGATTGCTTTATCGACTGGTAGTCGTAGGCATTGTTGAACATATCGATGCTGCACAGTTGTTCATCGAATGGGAAGTCTTTTACCTAGAAAATTGGGTTGTAAAAGTTATAATTCTTATTATTGGCATAAATTTGGCGTTTTTTACGGTAAAAGCGATTTTTTTTTATTTTAAAGGCCCATTGAAGGCAAATCTATAACCAAAAACCCACATTCATCACGCAGCGCGTTTCAGCATAATACTGCAAACTAACGGAAACCGTCCCATTGGCATAAATTGTAGCGGTATTGAACTGATCGGGGTAGACGACTTCTAGGGTCTGTCTGAAAGATGGACATTTTGGAATTCGTATCGTAACGTAGCTGGTTATCTAAAAACGAAACGTTTTTAGGCGCCACGGACCTTCGAAATGGGAAATAGTCTTTTTTTGTGTCCGAATGTCAAAACTTACGTTTCAAAATCTGCGAAACGACAATGATTTCAAAGGCTACGAAGCTTTCAAATGTGAAAAATGCTCAAAATGGCCAACTTTCGCGGGCTTTTGCCCTTTAGAGCCTCATAACCTTCGTATTTTCGTCGTTCCGCAGACTCTGGAAACGAGGTTTTGTTTAGCGTAAAATCCTGCCCACAATAAGCTTAGTACCATGACGAAACCCCCGTGGAGGCCAAAAAACGTCCCCCTTGTAAGCGCTTAATAGCCTACGCATTGCTAATCCCATTCGCTGGGATCCATATGCTAGTCGATTGCACGTTAATACGTTCGAGCCCATCGTAATTTTCAGGATTCCAAGCCAATCGAGCGTCCTTATAATCCTGAAACGCAGCATCATTAACCTTGGATGATCAGACATTATTTTGAAATCCTTAGCCTCGTCTAAAACTCACGTAGTCAATCTCCATCGATATACTGGCCATTTGAGACTGGGCGTTCTAAAAAAATCACTTTATCAATTCACCACTATCCTTTGGACAGCAGCTTTTTAAAACTTACCATCCCTAAGAGTTGTATAAATTGCAGCGAGATGAGCACATCAAACTTCGGGATTGAGTCATTCTGGTTCCCTCTAAAATAGATCGGTGCCAGGTCGTTGCGGTAGCCCCGGGCGACAAATAACTCGTTGTAGAGCTCCTGGTTTTTTGTCAGGAAATTTGCGTAGTCGTCTGAAAGCGAGGAATTTTGAACGCAACGTCACTTCTTGAGTTTTGGAAGCTTCAGCAATTTCCAGTTTTTAACAGCGTTGATTAGGCTTATTTTTGACGCGCGACACGCGACGCGGCGTGAGAGATTTGCCACGCGTCGCGTGTAGCTGCCGAGGTCGTGTTTAAAAAAAATATTTGTGACTATAGCGATGCCTAGTTACCCCCTTTAAAAATAATTCTCGACCTCTGAAATCGATACCTGCTACCCCAATCTCCGTCCAGTTCACCCCAGCCAAATTCTCCGCATAGCAGCAGGCATACTGTAGCGTAATAAGATATAGAATATGCAGCAAACCCTTAAATTCCATCATCTATGCCAAAATGATGCTGTTTTTCGACCTCAAAACGCGGAAAACCCGAGAAATCATTGGGGAATGAATAAGCACAAACACCACAAGATCCCCCCGACTGCCCACAAGTTTCCGATTTCACCTGGCGCCCCCGCGTTTTTGTACTTGAAATACTCGGACGGTGTGAACGCACGCCGCTATGGCAGGTGTACGTTTGTGTTGGGGGAGTTTCTATGGTATTCTGAAATCGTGACACTTGGCAGCGTTGGAAGTTCCGAATTCTTTGGGGGGCGAAGACCCTGGTCAGGGCCGGTAGAGCGGGTTGGAAGGTGTGTTTTGATGGTCTGAGTCATGAGTTACAAGTCGTGTATGGGGTGAATTCGGAAAAATGGAACGGATAGCACTAGAGTACTCTCCAGTAAACAGTGTGTGCGTAGCTCTTTCTTTTTCGTTCGCTCGCGCTTCCGCCCTCACTCTCCCTCTCTCTCCTCTCTCCCCCTCTCTCTCGCTCGCTCTATTTTTTGCGACGAAACCGTAAGAATTGCTACGCGTGGCTGCATTTTCAGCCATATTTATCATTCTCTTCAGTTCCAATGCGACATAAACACGATAAAATTCGTAACATTTGTCATTTGGAAGGTGAAGAAGATGAAGAAATGACGGGAGATCAGCCAGTTTCGCAGGAAGGGGCTCCATTTTCTAAAAAAATTTGGGGGCTTTTGAGAAAAGCGCACCTGATCCCCTCTAGCCCATCTACCTCCTTCTTCACGTTTTTCGCTTTTTCGAATGGTAGAGTGACCAGGATGACGCACGCTAGCGATACAAGGCCCACGTCGATGATCACGAACCAGCCTAGAAAGAGTGAAAGTTTGAGAGGGAGAGAGAGAGAGAACGAAACAGAGAGAGAGAGAGAGAGAGAGAGAGAGAGAGAGAAAGAGAAAGAAAAAGAGAGAGAGAGTGAGAAAGCGAGCGAAAAGAGTCATATCAAAGGGCTTTGTCCAACTTACCTAGAAGCGGAAACGACGAATTTCTTGGTATCTCCTCCGATAGCATCTGCACAAATATTGTCATCGACATCATACTTGTCAGCCCGATGCTCAACTAATTTTTTTGACGCTAATGTTTAAAAAAACGTTCTTACCTTTGAAAGCTGCTCCTCCCTGTTGTTGAGCGTCCAAAACATACCCCAGATCGATAGAAGTGTCAATAGGAAACACGGAATGACAATCACAAATACGTAGAAGTTAGGCTGCCGCTTGATGTTGAGCACGAATTGGAGCTGGAATTTTGCTTTTTGAACATGTTTTGTGTAGCTTTCAAATTATTACCAATTTTTCTAACTTACAAAATCATATTTGTCCCGTCCGGTCCCGCTGAAGTCGAAATACTCCATTGAGACATTCTTGAATTTCCACTCGCCATTGTCCTAAAATACTGTAAATTGAGGTTTCTGGATTTTCGGCAGTTGAGAAATCTAAGACTCACGAATATGATGCCGTCAACATATTTTGTAAAAAGGGCTCCAGTCTCCTGGACCATATCCAAAGTATAAGCGTTGTTGAAGATGTCGATAGTACAGGATTGTTCGTCAAATGGGAAGTTTTTTACCTAAATGTTTGTGGCATCCAGTTGAAAGCAACGTTTATCTTGGCAGAATTTCCTCAATGATCTCCGCTAGACGGCTTTCTCTCGCTCACTCACGCTCTCTCGCTATATCACTCGCTCTCACTCTCTCTCTCTCTATCTCACTGGCACTCACTCTCTCGCTCTTTCTCTCTCTCTCTCTCTCTCTCTCTCTCTCTCTCTATCTCACTGGCACTCACTCTCTCGCTCTTCCTCTCTCGCTCTCTCTCTATCTCACTGGCACTCTTTCTCTCGCTCTCTCTCTCTCTCTCGCTCTCTCTGTGGGCATTTTATCATTTGACCATAAAAAACTCACGTCCATCACGCATCTCGTCTCCGCGTAGATTTGAAAACTCACTGCCACCGACCCGTTTGCATAGATATTCGCAGTATTTAATGGATCCGGGTAAACAACTTGCAGGGTCTGACTGTAATTGTGATTTTTGGGGTTTTAACGTTTTTATAGGAATTACGCATTGCTGATCCCATTCGCAGGTATCCATATACTTTTCGACTCCACATTGATCATATCAATTCCGCCGTAATTTTCAGGGTTCCAGGCAAGTCGGGGGTCTGTGTAAGCCTAAAACAAAAGGTGCTTTCTCTCATTCTCTCTCTTTCTGTCTCTCTCTCTCTCTCTCTCTGTCTTTCTCTGTCTCTCTCTGCCTCTCTCTAATCACTTACGTAATCGATTTCCATAGCCGTACTTGCCAGTTGTGATTGAGCATTCTAAAAAATCTGGATTTCGGCGTCCGGCCTCCTTACCACTCCCAAAAGCTGTACAAACTCAAGCGATATCATCACGTTGAATCGTGGTATCGAATTATTCTTTGTCGCCTGATTAAAAATCGGCGACAAGTCGCTACGGTAGTTTCGGGTAATGAACAGCTCATCGTACAATTCCTGGTTTTTCTGCAGGAATCGAGCGTAATCCGCTATAATTCTTCAGTTAAATGTGGTAAGAGGTTCTTACGGTCTACGCCAAGGTCATCCCAGTCGATGGTAGAGGAGGAATTTTGTGTGTAGCTTTCAGGTATACTAACACATAGTAAGAATCCAGTTAGTCTTATCGAATAAATCATAGTGCTGGCAAATCGATGTCTAGTCGTTCTGGGAATTCTGTGTTCACTGGAGCAAATATTCGAAGTCCACTTGACTTTTCGGGAAGGGCAAAATTGGCCTCCGACGGGTGCAAATAATGCCATTTTTTATTAGGTCCATGGTGTTTTGAGATCAATGGATTTTGACTTCCTGTTCTCTTAAAAGTTTGCAAGAGGCAGCTATATGCGATCAGTTTATTTCCAAAACGAGAGAAACACCAGCAAATTTGCAATATTAATCGCTTGGAAGAAGGTGAAGATCATGAAATGGCGTGAGCATAGCCAATTCCAAAGGCGCGCGAACCATTTTCTAAAGCAAGATAGTAAAAGCAAAGATATTTCCAGTTTACCGAGCTTCAGCTCCCTTTTTCGAGATTTTCGATTCATCGTATGGTAATGTCACCAAAACGACACAGGCTATTGAGACGAGAAAAACATCAATTATGACAAGCCAGCCTAAAGTTATAAGTAGAGAGTAAGCGAGAGAGAGAGAAAGCGTGAGAGAGAGGGAGAAAGAGAGGCAGAGTGCGAGAGCGTGAGAGAGAAACGTTTAACGCGCTTTACCTAATAGTGGAAAGGAGGCATTCCTCGGAATTGCATTCGACAACATTTCCACAAAAATCGTCATCGACATCATACTTGTTAAGCCGATACTCAACTATAAAACACGGTTTTGAGCAACATTCGGACAGCCAACCTTTGACAACTGCTCCTCGTCAGTATTTGGCGTCCAAAACATTCCCCATATCGATAGCAGCGTCAATAGGAAACACGGAATGGCAATGACAAATACGTAAAAAGTCGGCTCTCGCTGGATATCGAGGTAGTATTGGACCTAAAGGCTTGTTAATAGCTCGCATATACCCTTAATTTTCAAGGAATCATTTCTCAGAAAAACCCACAAACTCATATTTCACGTCTCCAACGCCAAAGAATTGTTCATGGAATATTGTCAGGTTTCGGAAATTCCACTCACCATTGTCCTAAAAATCTCGAAAAACTAAAAAAAAAATAGAGGTTTTGCTACGTAGATAATTCCTTGGGTGTATTTCGTAAATTTGCTGGCCGTCAGGGCGAAGGCTTCCGTGTCGTAGGCGTTGTTAAAAAAGTCGATGGTGCAGATTTGTTCGTCGAAAGGGAAGGTTCGGACCTAGAATAGTTTCCGTTTCGTAACTAATGACGTTTGCGTCTCTTTGTTTGTTGTCCCTCTCGCTAACTCTCCCTCACTCTCTCTCTCTCTCTCTCTCTCTCTCTCTTTTTCTCTCTCTCTGTGTTGCGTGTGCGTCGCGTATCGTCTCCTCAAAACACACGTCCATCACGCATCTGGTCTCTGCATAGATCTGTAGACTCAAGCTGATCGTCCCGTTTGAAGCAATCGTCGCCGTAGTAAATTGATCGGGGTAGATGATTTCTAACGTTTGGCTAAATTAAGTGGTTTTTAGACAAATTTAACATCCGCTTGTTGCAGAGCAAAAACGCCAAGACCCTACGCATTACTAATCCCGTTCGCCGGCACCCATATCTTGGTCCATTCAACGTTTATTGACTCGACACCTCCGAATTTTGTTGAGTTCCAGGTTAGGCGGGGATCGATGTATTGCTAAAATATGTTTTAAGGCTGAAGTCAAGGTTTTTAAACTTTGCACAGCGTAGTTTATTAATACATAAATCAATCTAGCTTTGCAAGCCGTAAAAACTTACATATCCAACCTCCATACTTATGCTGGCCATTTGCGATTGAGCGTCCTAAAAATGTAAAAAATCAAGGCAGCTAAAAATCGAAAATCCAGCTATTTGTACAAAACTTACAATTCCCAAAAGTTGAATATACTGCAGCGTGACGAGCAGAGAAAATGGTGGAATCTCCTGGTCTCGACCAGATCCAGAATATATTGGCGACAAATCTCGACGGTAGTTCCGGGTGTCAAATAATTCTTGGTAGAGTAATTGGGTATTAGTAAGGAAATTAGCATACGACCCTAAAAATCATACTTTACTAAGCAAAATTTGGCGTATGCAGGAATGAAAAGCTCTGTTTTTACCTACCATTAATGCCCAATTCTTCCCAATTGGTCGCTTGTACACTTACGATAGTTAAAACATGCCTAACGGCTAGAAAAACAAGCACAAAGCCCAGCATATAAATTCTAAATTGCGGGCAATTCGTGGAAGCGGGGGAATTTGAACCGTGGACCTCAAAAAGCGGAGTAACTCCCTTGACTGGTCCCCCCATATTCGATTTCGCCGAGTAATTCCGCGCGGTTCCGCCAATCCACTCGGGTAATTTTTTAACACCTATCTGCGCGGAAACCAAAATAATTTTGTTTTGCTGATGCAAAAATGTCCCCTTCACGAGGTATCGCTCCGTACAAAAGTGGTGCCTTGGTCGTATTTGGTGAAAAGAGCCCCGGATTGGCGAATGAAGTCGTAGTTGTAGGCGTCTTTAAAGAAATCGAGCGGACAGATTTGCTCGTCGAATGGGAAGACGCGGACCTAGATAGTAGTAATCCTACTATATATATAAAAAACCAGGGTTGAAAAGCCGCTACGCGGCTTTTCACCCCTGGCCTTCGCGCACGGAACTCTCAAAGTTGGGCACTTTGCATAGTTCGAGCGAAGAGCGAGAGTGAACCCAAAAACGGTAAAAGCAACCGGCCGTTAGCGCGACAAAATTCGAAATGAGCCTCCTAGCGCCTCGTATGCAAATGAGGATATTTCCATATTTTTTAAAATAGCTAAAATAAAGTATAAATCGATATTTTATTAAAAATCTGATAAGCTTGCAGTAATCTACGCCCTCGACTACCCCTAAATACTTTTCGACTGGGTCCTAAAATTGATCCTCCATCCCGATGTCTTGGTAACCCGGTTTTTTCGAGCCATTTATGCGAAGTGTCCACACACACACACACATGAACTATTTTTTTATGTATAGTAGGATAATTTCTGTGTGTGTTTGTGTGGACACTTCGCATAAAAACCCGGATTCTAGCCATAACTCGAAGGAAAGAGGATTTTATGGTTCAGAAGTAAAATGGTTCGGAGCAATCGAGGGCGTAGATTACTGCGCGCTAATCAGATTTTTACTAAAATGACGTTTTCTACCTTATTCTAGCGATTTAAAAACATATTGAAATAGACTAATTTGCATACTAGGGGTAATTCGGTTCGGGTAGGGGTCGGAATCTCGAAATTTCGGAATCTCGAAATTTCCGAATCTTGAAATTTCGGAATCTCGAAATTTCGGAAATATTAGCAGATTCCTGGAAGCAAAACTATTATGCATCCAAATTTTTGAGATACAAATACAAGATTTCCGATAAAACGAAAAGTAGACCCCCTCTAACTCGACGGAGAAGCGTCGGATCGGGATGATAGTCATACCATCCGAAAGCCCTTGAAACGACGAGTTGATAAACACCTTTTTCAGAGGGTCTACTTTTCGTTTTATCGGAAATCTTGTATTTGTATCTGAAAAATTTGGATACATAATAGTTTTGCTTCCAGGAATCTGCTAATATTTCCGGAATTTCGAGATTCCGCAATTTCGAGATTCCGAAATTTCGAGATTCAGAAATTTCGAAATTCAGAAATTTCGAGATTCGGAAATTTCGAGATTCCGAAATTTCGAGATTCCGAAATTTCGAGATTCCGACTCTCACCCTGCGGTTCATTCTGGGCTTTGCGGGGTTCCGGGCCGGTTGCTCAAGTAATTCCTGTGGTGTGCCTATCCCTAACATAATCCGCAGTATTGATGCAGATTATTATGTGCAAAGTGCCCGTGTATCAAAGGGCTCCGCAGAGCGGCCAGGGCTGAAAAGTCGCGAAGCGGCTTTTCAACCCTGGTTTTTAGATGAAAACTATTTTATTAATAGTTCAATCACCTTTGCGCCACTGCATTACTTCTAGAATCGTTACTTCCAAAAATTTACTTTAAAAAATCGTTACTTCGAAAAATAATTACTTCTAACATAGTTTCTTCTAAAAACGTTACTTTTAAAATCATTACTTCTAAAAAGGTCACTTTTAAAGTCATTACCTCTAAAAAGGTAATTGTAAAAAACGTTACTTCTAAGACTCATTTAGTTGTTTGTTTGTTTATTAAATATGATAAATCAAAATAAAATAATTAATTATATGTATTTGTACTGGTTCCATTCCAGAGTCGCCTCAACCCGAACGCCTGGAGAGCTTCTCACGGGATTGATTCAAGGAATTATCGGAGGCGCCCACAATGTGCTTTCCAATTACGTAAGCGATTTTGAGAGAATTGCACAATTTGAAATAACTAGCGTAGTGGAAAACTTGAACCACGGTACGCTTTAGTCGTCATCTCATTTCAGCAATCAACTAACGTACCCTCGGCTTCCGGCGCGAGTTTCATCACCCAACCCTCAGCAGCCGGAGGCTCGGTTGCCCACGCAGCCCCCACCTTCAACGCCGTAAGTTTTTGGCTTGACTGCCCCTTTAAAGCCACATTTTTAGAGAAAACCTTAACCAATCCCAATTCGCATTTTCGGATCGGTGTATAAAGCTTGAATTCCGTTATTGATTTCACATAATAAACATTAAGTTAAGCAGAGAAATTTCAGCACGGAATCGTACTAAAACCTAAGAATTTTTAGGCAGCCGGAAGCCCGGTAGAGCAAGAAATCGCAGCTTTTGCTACGCGGCGACCGGAAGTGGTTAGGCCTGAATTTGCGACTGGGTAAGTATCGGTTTCAAGTCTTCAAATTAGACCATATTTTCCAGACCTCCTCTAACCCTCGAGGAATCAGACATTCGCCGAACACAAGTCCTAGACGCTGCGGTAGAAGCACAACGTCAGCGAGCGGAAGATGTAAGCGCAAATGAGATTACCGTATCCCGAATTTTTTAGGCGCGTCGACTTCGCGAAGAGCAATTCAAGGTGGAGCAGATGCACGAGAAGGAACGACAAGAGCAAATAAGGGTAAGGGAGAGGTAAAATTAGAGAGAGAGAAAGAAAGAGTTAGAGAGAGAGAGAGAGAGAGAGAGAGAGAGAGAGAAAGAGAGAGAGAGAGCGAGAGATAAATCAAACTTTTGGTTTAGGAAGAAATGAAGAAGCGCCGTGACGAAATGATCCATCAACTTGAAGAGCTAAAGGAAGCCGAAAGGCGCCAAAAAGAATTGCTGGCCGAAAAGGAGCGGTTGGCTGAAGTTAGTATAACTTTTAAGACACCAGATTAAGCATGCAAAAAACCGATTGCCCCACAGTAATATATTTATTGATTTCAGGAAGCCCGCGCCCTCATCGCCCAGCGAAATGAGGCCCTGGCTTCTGCCAACCATGATGGAATTACCGATGTTAATACCGCAGTCAGGTAGTAAAAAACTTAGGAAAAATGCAATTTTTGATTTTTCAGATACAAGTTGAAGCCCAGCCAGTGCGCCGCCATCAACAAGTTCACGCGGGTGTTCAAAATCACCGACCCGTCGGACTGGATTCAGAGGAATTGCCAGTTTGCGAAGAGGTGGGGGTAGAGGAGAGCTAGCAGGGATTCTTTCGGATTCACAAAAAGTGCGGACGGGGGCGAGCTAGCCGAGTGGATCGAAAGAAAATTAAGGAAGATCAGTAAGCTAACAAGCTAAGGAGACGTTTTTGAGTGTCATCGGGACTTTGGCACGGGACCAAGCCTAGCTTGTGCAAAATTTTACGCTGATTTCGAATATGGTAACCGTTTTTGCGGAATAGCCATTTCTCCAAAGTTATGAACGATTTAAACCTCAAAACAGCCCAAAATCGGCTACTTTCAATAGTCATAAAAGGCTTCAAAACAGGTTTGATACAAAACCATATAGTACATCTTCTTCAGAAAAAATTCTCTATAAAATAAGCTACTTAACTCAAAAATGCTGGAAATGTGAAAATTTTTGTAAAATTAGGGGCCTCCCAATTTACCAAATTTTTCCAACTTTTCAATGATTTTGGAAAAGATGGTACATTTTATAGAGAATTTTTTTCTGAAGAAGATGTACTATATGGTTTTGTCTAAAACCTGTTTTGAAGCCTTTTATGACTATTGAAAGTAGCCGATTTTGGGCTGTTTTGAGGTTTAAATCGTTCATAACTTTCCAGAAATGGCTATTCCGCAAAAAAAGTTAACATATTCGGAATCAGCGTAAAATTTTGCACAAGATAGGCTTGGTCCGGTGCCAAAGTCCCGACGACACTCAAAAACGTCTCCTTGTAAGAGAGCCCATTTGTCAGCATAGAAGCTGAGGAACAGTGAGCTAGTTAAGACCATTTTGGGCAAGCAAGAGGAGCTAGCAAAGATCGTTTAGAAAATTAAGTAAGCAGAGACTATTTGAAACCATTCAACCCAGTACTTTTTCTAGGTACTTCCCCCAAGCCTCGTGCACCCAAATCCAAAACCTCATCGAGTCGTGCTTCGTTTTCCTGATGATGTTGTAATCACATCCACGCAATGAAAATCAGCCAGCTCATGCAAAACATACCCGGGTAAAAACTCATTCTGACGCTCTTTTTCTTATTCGCCGTTTCCCATGCATTTTTTACTGCAGTTATTCCATTCCATTTTCTCTTTGCTTCTCCCACCGTCACCTCAGCGATTTCCCCCCAAGCGAAATGATCTGCTTTTGTCGTATAAGTGTGTTTTTGCTTTTATTCATTGCAGAATGAATTTTAAATTGTGAAAGCTCTTTCCTTACGTCCAGTACGACATGAATACGATGAAATTGACGAGACCCGCCAGTTGAAAAGCAAAGAAGATGAAGAAATGGCGCGAGAAGATCCAGTTTTGGAGGAATATTAGCCAGCTCCTAAAAACATGTTCTGTAAAACGATAGAAAGAGAGAGAGAGAGAGAGAGACAGAGAGAGATAACGTCGCTGAAACATACCCTAAACCACCAGTTTCTAACTTCTTAGCTGATAATTTCTTATCGAAAGGTAACGTAACGAGTACGACGCATGCTATTGACACCAATATCACATCGATGATCACGAACCAGCCTAGAAATCTTTGTATAGAGGCGCGAGAGGGAGAGTGACAGAGGGAGAGAAAGAGAGAGAGCGCGAAAGATATCAGCGTTCACCGAGAAGCGGAAACGTTGCATTCCTCGGAATCTCATCAGATAACATCTGCACGAATATCGTCATCGACATCATACTTGTCAACCCGATGCTCAGCTATAATTTGCATAGTAGTTTTTGGCGGATTATCTACCTTTGACAGCTGCTCCTCTTTATTATTTCTCGTCCAAAACATTCCGCATATCGAGAGTATCGTCAATAGGAAACACGGAATAACGATCACAAACACATAGAATTTTGGTCTTCGCTTGAGACAGAGACCGAATTCGATCTAGAAAATGAGAATTAAACATAATACAAATACAAACAACAGAAATGTATGCCAGGAACATAAGAATCAAAAATTTTCTGTACTTACGAGATCGAACTTGGGCAAATTATGGTTGGTGATCATATAGGTGACCGTAACATTGGTAAAAGCCCACTCGCCGTTGTCCTAAAATGGTCGAAATCATATCTGAGGACTAGGGACGCTTTACATAAGTTGTTCCCTGATCGTATTTCGTGAAAAGGGCACCGGTCTGGCGGACGAAATTAAAATTATAGGCATTGTTCCAAAAATCCAGTGGGCACATTTGTTCGTCGAATGGGAAGATGCGGACCTAAATGGATGTTAGGATTTCTTCTTCATATTTTAATCCGAAAAACGAAGTCAAAAGCTTTACGGAGTATTTTTTATGTGCTAGGTCAATCGAAAAAGGCAGATTAAATGACCAACATCGATCACACAGCTCGATTCGACATAATATTCATAGCTCGTTATCACCGACCCATTTGCATAGATCATGCCCGTGTTAAAGGTATCCTGATAGACCACTTGCATCGTTTTTCTAAATATACGCGGCATGTGATTTGGGGTGTAATTAGCACTAACGCGTTCAAAATACCATTCGAAGGTTGCCATAGATTGCTGCTACGGACGTTGATCGAGCTGACACCACCAAAATCTGAGGTATTCCACACTAGACGAGGATCCGTGTACATCTAAAGAACTTATAGCTGAAGTTCCACGCTCTCTCTTCTCTCTCTCTCTCTCTCTTTCACTCTTTCACTTTTTTTGCCCTTCTCACTTTCTCCCTCTCCCGCTCGCTCTCGATCCCTCTCCCGCTCTCAAGTCGGTCACACTTTCTCGCTCTTTATTGTTCACTCTCGCTTTCTCTCACACCAGCCGCTTACAGCGGCTTCGCCGCTGCAAGCGGCTGGACTTCGGGCTACCCCCTGGCGCTCCCTGTCCATAGCCGAAACGCGCGCGACCTGGCTCACTATGTCCAAAATCACCCCAACCTCCGTCCCCCACCCCTTTTACTAAGGAAAAAACTTTCAAAATTAATTTTAATAATTTAAATTAAAACTTTTTCATAATTTTTTTATCAGTTTGGGGGTTTCTGACCACGCTCTATCCGAATCCGAAGAGAGCTAAGCTCTAGCTCCTTTCCCCTTCGAGTTGAATCCGGGACACGACGGACAGACAGACACCACTACTTTTTTATTATAGTTGATTCTCTGACTCACTCTCGCTCTCGCTCGCTCTCGCTCTCTCTCTCTCGCCATCTGAACGAAAAATGCCCATCAACTCACATATTCAATTTCCATCGTTGTGCTGATGATTTGCGATTGGGCGTTCTAAAACGTGCATATTCCATCATTGTATATTTTTTAAAATGAGGAAATTACTGCAACTTACAATCTCGAGCAGTTGAACATATTGTAGCGAAATAAGAACATCAAATTTTGGTACCGGATTGTCTGACAAAGGATTGTAAACCAAAATTATAATACGCAAAAAATCATCCACGACCTGTTAAATTCAGCTCTGGAGCACCGAACACCGGCGATAAATCGTTGCGGTAATTCCGCGTGGTAAAGAGCTCGGTATACAATTTCTCAGCGTTTTTCACAAACTCGCCTTGCGTTTCTGAATTGTGTAATTTTTTAGAAGACGATGTAAAAAGTGTACCGTGTACGTTGAATCTGGTCCAATCTATGCCCGAATAATTGGCATAGGAAGGGATAAGGCAAAGACATGAAATGATAATAATCAATTGGCGAGGAGAATATGGCATTTATGACCTCACGGCCGTTGGCCTTTTTGGCGGGCTACTCAAAAAAAGTCCGCCGATTTTAGCAAATACGGCCTGGCCCGCCGTCGGCATACTTCAAAATATTGCCGAGTAGCTTTTTTAGCGAAACTATACTATGGTCTAAGGTACGAAATATTTAATGGTTTTGATAGGTTTTTGTCCGTCTTAGATCGCCTTTGACAATGCCTTTTGCAAAATAGAGTATCAAATTGTAAAAAGTTATTTTTATTGCCAATATGACATAAACACGATAAAATTGACGACGTTCGCCATTTGGAAGGTAAAGAAAATGAAGAAGTGCCGGGAGAAGATCCAGTCTCGAAGGAATATCACCCAGTTGCTGTAAATAAATCTACCCAAAGATCGTTGCTAAAATATACCTAAAGCCCGCAGTATCTAAAGCCTTGGTGGAGCTCCGCTTTTCAAAAGGTAGGGTGACGAGTACGACGCATGCTATTGACACCAATATTACATCGATGATCACGAACCAACCTAAAAAGGACTTTAGAGAAAAAAGCAGAGAGAGATAGATAGAGAGAGAGAGAGAGAGAGAGAGAGAGATAGAAAAAGAGTTAGCGGGAGGGGGTGAGAGATCCTCGCCTAAAAGTGGAAATGTCGTATTCCTGGGAATCTCGTTGGAGAGCATTTCCACAAATATTGTCATCGACATCATACTTGTCAACCCGATGCTCAGCTAAATCGATAATGTTGCTAGTTCATGGAACCGATACCTTTGATAGCTGTTCCTCCTTGTTATTTCTTGTCCAAAACATTCCCCATATTGAGAGCAACGTCAATAGAAAACACGGAATAACGATCACAAACACGTAGAACTTGGGCTCTCGCTTGATGTGGAGTTCAAATTGGAGCTAGAAATTTGTATAAAAAAAATTAACCTACAAAATCATATTTTGGGAGCCTGACGTTTGGGACCGAGTAGAGGATAGAGAAATTAGTGAAAGTCCACTCGCCATTGTCCTAAATAATACGCAATGCTACCATCCACGGTGGCGGCTTACAAAAATCACGGCCTCATCATATTTCGTGAATAGAGCACCGGTTTGGCGGACGTAGTCCAGATTGTAGGCGTTGTTAAAGAAATCGAGTGTGCAGATTTGCTCGTCGAACGGGAAGTCGCGGACCTGGATTTTGTTGGTTTTATTTAGCCTCCAAACTGCAACTTAAGAATCTTCTAAAAAGCACAGCTACATCAATAAAAGATTTCATACACGGTTTCTATTGATTATTTGGTTTTTATTGATAAGGCCAGAAGATTAAATTCTCCTACATCAATGACGCAGCGCGACTCCACGTAATATTGAAAACTCGTCACCACCGTCCCATTTGCATATATCATTCCAGTATTAAACGAATCTGGGTAAACGACTTCGAACGTTTTTCTAAGCGTTACTGAAGGTAATATGCGTTACGTACGTACGCGTTCGAAATGCCGTTTGATGGTTGCCAGAGGAAATTGGCACGGATATTGATCGACTCGACGTCACCGTAATCCGAGGTATTCCAGACTAGTCTCGGGTCAAAGTATTTCTAAATTATCTCTATCTATCTATCTACCTTTCTTGCTATCTGTTTATCTCTCTCTCCCTCCCTCTCTCTGACTCTCTCCCTCCCTCCCTCCCTCTCTCTCTCTTTCTCTCGCCCTAGCTGTCTCAAGAGCAGAGCTTTCTTCAAAAAAATTTTACCTACATATTCAATTTCCAAAGTAGAGCTGGCGAGTTGGGATTGGGCATCCTAAAGAGGCTTAAAAATATTTCGCAAAGAATTCCGTACGACGCCTAGCAACTGTATATACTGTAGCAGCACGAGCACATTATATTTTGGCACCGGATTAGCTAAAAAAATATGAACGCCTTTAGAAAAACCACAAGCCGTAATATCAGATGAAACCAAGAAATCCAGAAACCAAACCTGAGCCATTCCGTTTGGATGCGGAGAACACGGGCGACAGCTCACTACGGTAATCACGGGCAATAAATAATTCCTTGTGCAACTTTTGGACGTTCAGTATAAACTCTCCGTTCACTTCTGGAACTCAAAAATTTTATATTTTTTTCGCTTTCTAGTTACCAGTCACGTCGACCAAGCTCCAGTCTATTGACGTCAAATTCGCTTTGCAATGAATAAAACAGAAGCTGAAAACTAGAGAAACTTTCAGGATTCCCCGGGCCATTCCTGGCGAGAGCGCATTTGACGAATTTCCAAGGTTCAGAACAGCCCGCAAAAGTTTCTGTTTTCAGGCAAATATGGACCGACGGCGGACCTACTTGAATTTTGCCTCTACGAGAATTGGTAAATACAAACCACAACTAGAGACATTTATTTATAAAAAATGCCTAATAGGTATGATTACCTATCATTATCTCGAAAATCAACATCTCGAAAATCAATATCTCGAAAACAAACATCTCGAAAGTTCATTATCTCGAAAGTTCATTATCTCGAAAGTTCGTTATCTCGAAAGTTAATTATCTCGAAAGTTCGTTATCTCGAAAGTTCGTTATCTCGAAAGTTCGTTATCTCGAAAGTTAATTATCTCGTATTATTATCTTTCTACTCGAATACGAGATAATTAACTTTCGAGATAATGAACTTTCGAGATAATTAGCTTTCGAGATAATGAACTTTCGAGATAATGAACTTTCGAGATAATGAACTTTCGAGATAACGAACTTTCGAGATGTTTATTTTCGAGATGTTGATTTTCGAGATGTTGATTTTCGAGATAATGATCAATCCCCTATAAAATGCATTTGGGCCGGCAGAACGTTTTGGAAAACTTTGTGGTATTGAAGAAAATAGGACGCTTGCGGAGATCATTCGAGGAAGAAGCTGTTAAAATGTCGTTTATGCAGAATGACGCATGGACATTAAAATGGTGATCTTTATCACCAATACGACATAAACACGATAAAATTGACGACATTCGCCAGTTGGAAAGCGAAGAAGATGAAGAAGTGCCGGGAAAAGTACCAGTCCCGAAGGAACACCAGCCAGTTTCTAAAAAGATTATCATGAACGATGAGAGGTATAGAAAGAGCCAAAGAGAGGTAGTGAGAGAGAAAGAGAGAGAGAGGCTCCAAGGCATACCGTAAACCTCCAGATTCCAAGTTTTTCGTTGATTGCTGTTTTTCGAAAGGTAGGGTGACGAGTACGACGCATGCTATTGACACTAATATTACATCGATGATCACGAACCAGCCTAAAAAAAATAGTTTTATCGGAAACGCTGGCGGGAGAGGTAGCTTGTGGGAGCGAGAGACCCAGTGAGAGCTTAAGAGAGAAAATAATCGACGACCTACCTAAAAGCGGAAAAGTAGTATTCCTTGGAATTTCGTTTGATAGCATTTCCACAAATATCGTCATCGACATCATACTTGTAAGCCCGATACTCAGCTTAATTGGCATATTTTCAGATCAGATTAGGACTCTAACTTTTGAAAGCTGCTCCTCCTTATTATTTCCGGTCCAAAACATTCCCCATATCGAAAGTAGAGTCAATAGGAAACACGGAATGACAATCACAAAAACGTAGAATTTTGGCTCTCGTTTAATGTGGAGCGCGAATTGAAGCTGCAAAGCGTTTTGAAGAAACGTATTCAACTTACAAAATCATATTTTGGCAAATTTACGTTGGTGATCGAGTAAAGCATGGAGATGTTGACAAAAGTCCATTCACCATTGTCCTAAGAAGCCGATTTAGTGAGAGGTCGGAGCGGTGTTTAATTTACAAAAATAGTAGCTTCGTCGTACTTCGTGAAGAGCCCGCCAGTCTGCTTGACGTAATCATAGTCGTAAGCGTTGTTGAAAAAGTCGAGGGTGCAAATTTGTTCATCGAACGGGAATTCGCGGACCTGAATGTGGGATTTAACGCATCGAGAGGCCTTCGCGTCAAGCAAATCCTGATTTGCTCATTTCCATTTCTAACTTGTAAGACTAGAGTTAAAGGGCACGTTCAGGGACGTTTTTTTGGAAAAAAGCAAAGATTTTTGCCGCGGCCGGGGGTCGAACCCGAGCCCCCCGCTCGGGGGCGTGGATGCATACCAGTCAGCCACAGCTACAAACTGGTGAGGGGATGAGGGGCGCCCCACGCCGCAAAGGAGGGAAATTGCCTCCCACGGCACGGGCAGGCAGTGCGCGCGGTCCCTACGTTGATAGGGTGTTCACGTTGGGACGAGTACGCGGCCCCTCCCTGAACGTGCGCTTTAAGGCCGCTCACGTCAATAACGCATCGCGATTCCACGTAATATTGAAAGCTGGTCACCACTGTCCCATTTGCATATATCATTCCCGTATTAAAGATATCGGGGTAGACGACTTGGAGCGTTTTTCTAAACCGGGATTTCTTAATCGTCGACCACAGTTAGGTGGCATGATATTATCTTTTAGTGATAAGATTACGTACGCGTTTGACATGCCATTTGATGGTTGCCAGAGGTTGTTGGCTCGGATGTTGATCGACTCAACGCCACCATAGTCAGAGATATTCCAGACCAATCGCGGGTCAAAGAATTTCTAAATGACAACGTACTTTCACTTTCGTCCTTCGCTCTCTCTCTCTCTCTCTCTCTCTCTCTCTTTTTTTTTTTTTTTTCTCTCTCTGTCCCTTTCTCTCTCTCTCCGTAAAGTAAAGAGAACCACTCACATATTCAATTTCTATCGACGAACTCGCCAGTTGAGATTGCGCATCCTGAAAAAACCACTTTAAAGGCGTCAACAATTCTTTCTCACGATGCCTAGCAGCTGGATATACTGTAGCAAAACGAGCACGTTGTATTTCGGCACCGGGTCATCTAAAAGCTAAGAGCAAATAATCCAAATAAAACGGCTCCAAGCGCTAGGCGGCCGCTTTTAATATCCTGAGACTGGAGCCTGAAGTCATACGTGAGCGATTCTGTTTGGAGGTCCCAAAAACCGGCGACAGATCGTTGCGATATTCCCGTGAGATGAACAACTCATTATATAGAGCCTGGATATTGATGAGAAACTGGGCATCCTCCTCTAAAGGCCAAAAATCACGTTTACTCCAACTTGCTCGGCGTACCAGGCACGTCAAATAGGCTCCAGTCGATTGCCGTCAAATTCCCTTGACACGGGATCAAAATGTTGAGAGATAAAATCAAGGAAATACCCAGAATCTGATGCTCCATATGTATGTCTTCACCGTGTCTGGCGCATGGGACATGTCGGAGGCATTTGGACGACGCGTAAAACGTCTCTGTTTTCAGCAAATATGGCTGTGGCGGGGCCGGCCGATACTCGAACTTTCAATGGGCCGGCTTGGTCCCGGGCTAGGTAAGTACGGGGCCCTTCTTCGGAGCACAAAAAGTTTAACTGGCTTGAGCAATAAAACCAGAATTTATTACAACCAAGTTTGGGGATTTTACAGGGTTTATTGAAGCCTCCAGACTTGCTGTAAACGCAAAAGGTTAAGCTCTCGGTGAAAGCTGAAAGCTGGCTTAAAAATTTACAGGAACATGGTGATGATAAGAATCTTCGCTAGCTTGGCTCCGGCTCCATGTCTCTCTCTTTCTCACTCTCCCTCTCTCACTTTCGCTCTCTCTAACTTACGCTCTCTCGCTCTCTCTAGCTCTCTCGCTTTCTCTCTCTCACCTTCCCTCTCTCACTTTCGCTCTCTCTAACTTACGCTCTCTCGCTATCTCTAGCTCTCTCGCTTTCTCTCTCTCACTCTCCCTCTCTCGCTTTCGCTCTCTCTAACTTACACTCTCTCGCTCTCTCTAGCTCTCTCGCTTTCTCTCTCTCACGCTCCGTAATTCTTCTCTTTTGCTGTGTCTTTCTTTAACTCACAATGTTCAAGTTTTATTCATTCTTTTGAAGCTACACGGATAGGGCACTAATATCGCTCATGCTGAGGGTACCTTCACAAATTACAGAAAAACATGCAATAATCGATATACTCGCTGAGTTGGGGGAGCATTATTCCGGGATCACGACTATATATTTGACAAATATGAGAAGCTGAATTGATGCTAACCCCAATGGAAACAAACAAACCGCGACTAAATGGACCCGAGTTGATTTGCGCGCGCGTGGGGCGGGGTACGGTAGAAAGGGCACTGGATAGAAAAGACAACAAAGAAAATCACACGCCAACCAATAAAAAACGTAAAATCGAATTGTGTACAGTTTTGTGCAGAAATATGGAAGTAAAGAGAAGATAGGAAAGTGAGGAGGGATTTGGTCAAAAATTTGGATTTTTCAGGCAAAAAATCATATGAGAATGGTTTCTTAATAGAGTTACCAGTTTAGCGAGTATATTTTTAGGTTTAATAGCTTTTCTAGAGGATTAGAATGCTCAGAAAAATTTCCTCTTGCACGAGAGCATGGTTTTGCATTTTGGGCAAAAGTGCTGGACGTCCTTGCAGGAGTCGAGGCAGAACGGGACGAAGGCCAGGGGGAAGAACGCGACCAGGGTGATCAGGACCAGAATCCACGTGAACGTGCCGGTGACAAAGTTTTGGCGGGTGGTGATGGGCATCTGAAAAGATCGGGGTTAATTTGTGTTTCCATGGGCATCTCACGATTTTTGTTTTAGAAGAAGGGTGCCTGCAAGCAAAAATATTTTTTTTGGCCTCTAGGTCTTGAGTTTATTTTTCTCAAGGAACTCTGCTTGGATGCTGCGTTTCAAACCCTAGGAATCTTTGCCAGCTTGCAGCTTTATGAATTTTTTAAAACAGTTTCCAAAGGTCTCTGCTAGCTTGCCTTTTTCTAGCTTTTCTCCAAAAGCCCCCCCCCCTTTCGGATCTATCTGTAAACTTGCCTTTTACGAATTTTTTCAATCCGAGCGCTCAAAGATCTTTGCTCGTTTGCCAGCAGAAAAAAATAGTTTTTTTTTTAGTTTTTGTAATATTTCTTATTTTCAATTCTCACCTGGCACTTTGGACAGAACGTCTGGTATGGCGCTGACGTGTCGGCTTGTTTGACCGTATGCACGATGATTACTGTATTCGGGGCAGCCTGTTGGGGATGAACAAATGAGGAGGGTTGGGCTGATAGCGGGACAAACGGTGCGGGTCCGACCTAAAAGAGACGATGGTTAAATGACTATTAATGTTTCGGCAGGATCAAGCTAGACTAATCAGTTAAACTCGGTTAACTTACCCTAATCCCTTCTCGCTTCTCATTTCGTTCATTATCCGCTATCTCCTTTTTCATCTCATTTTCATAGGGAGGCGGTGGTCGGGGTGGGGAGTATGAGGGAGGTGGGGATTCGCTTGACATCTGGAAAAAGACAAAAAATTAATATAATTTAAAGAAAGAGAGAGAGAGAGTGAGAGAGAGAAAAACCTAAATTCAACAAAATTCGAATTGACGAAACTCAGCCCTGGTCAACGAACCAAGCGAACAAGACGTCAAAAAGGGGGGTGGGTGAAATTCGAAGCCGGGATGGTGTGACCCGAGAGCATTTTAGGGAGGGAATGTGGGGAAAGCACGGGCAAAAACCACAAAAAATGCTGGCATGTTAGGATAGAGGAAAAATAGCAGCGTTCTAGATGGTTGCAAACAATGAAATCAAAATTCTTGATTCCAAAATTGTCAAAAAAATATGAAAACTTATATGAACAGCGGTGTCGATCAGGTTTAGGTTTAGGTTTGGGCTTACGCTGAGGCTTGGGCTTAGGCTTAGGCTTCGCTTAGGAGGATATAGAAAGTTCCGAAGACAAATCGGCCGACCGAATTGACACGCTGGGGATGCGACGACCCCCTCGGGAGGACACCGAACCACAACAACCTACTCAAATTTCACCCCCGGCGTCGAACAATGGGCCAACGATCCCACCAAGTGAACCCCTGGCCCCGGAAGTGAGGGAAAATCGAAAGAGCCAAAGAACAGAAGTATGAGGGCGTCGAAACATGCCTAATTCACAAATCGCGCTCCGGGAATCTGGCGGAATTGGAAAATTTTTCAGGGCGGGCAATTAGGAGGGCGGTGGCCGCCAATTTCCGGCTCTTATCTCTGTTTTGGATGAGTCATTGGGGATGGAAGAGGAAAGTGCATGAAGAGAATTCGAAATTTTGGCGTTAAATTTCGTTTTTGGCAGAATGCCTGGTTTCCAAGGTTTGTGAAATTGAAAATCAGGATTTGAAGAACTGTTCGCTATATGAAAAAAATTTGGAAACTAAAAATCAGCCTTTATTCTTCAAAAAATGATAAAAACCGTATATTATTGTGGAGCCGCTCGAATAGCGGTTGCGGTAACCGGAAACTACACAAAACACCAAATTCCGGAGCCAAAAAATAATAGAAACGCGAAAACGAAAATATTTTCCGGGGACATCTCTCAACAAGCCGAAAATCGCAAGCTGACGTAGGAAATTTGTGGAAATTATAGTCTACTGTAGCTCTGGCCTTACCATATCAGAAAATTTCACCAGATTCCAATTTCCGGACCCAAAATCGGGCGCGGAACGCGGAAATCGCATGCCCTCCGGGGTGTGGCCCACCCACCACTTTTGTTGGGCCCCCGATCAGCTCCATTGGTCGCGCGACAATTAAGCTGGATGGCAAATAGTGTGCGAGTGAGGCAATCGAGGATGTGGGCGGAAAAGGGTTCTTGATGCCTTAAGATGTTCAAAACTGAGCTAAATACGAACTAAGCATTTAAACATATCCTTAAAGTTTTCAAAAAAAGTGAAAAAAGGCTAGAAAAAGCCGCGAAGCTCATGTTACTGTTCAAAACGTATCTAAATTCTGGCGTTAAGCACGAGTTCCGGTAGAAAAAAGCCTAGACACAAGATTTCATCTTTTTCTGGTGTCTTAAAATGCTCCAAAATGGAGGATCAGCCATTCTCCAAAAATTGAATTCTTTCGGATAAGCGAAAAACCCTAAAAACCTCATTTCCGGTTCCAAAATAGCCCTATACGATCGTTCTGCACGTTTTGCTAGCTGTCACTGCAAAAAACGAGAAACCGCACTCCCGAACCCCCATTTTAATTGCCAAAAAACCGCGTGACTCACTCAGAATCAACTGGAAAAACGGACATATGACACCAAAAATTTGACGTCTCGTTTGTTTGTGGCCATAAAAGCCGATTTGTGGGTTGGGAAATGGCCGCTCGAGTTGGCTCGTAAACCTATTGCCCAATTTTATGCTGATCCGCGTGGTTGTGGGGTAGGGAGGCGCCGTTTAGGGAATCAGCGTTTTTCGGGTTTCCCCATGAAAAAGTCTTGTGTTTCAGCAATTTTTCACAGGATTTAAGGAATAATATTTTAAAGGGGTTTGGCCGTGAAAAAATGACGAGCCATGAAACCGGTTTTCCGTTTATTTTTGCAAATTGAATCAGGTGCGGGGAGACAAAACTTTGAGGCCAAACATGGGATTTTTTTTTGCGGGCTGACGGCAACCGGAAATGCAATAAAAGACATATGAACGAAGGATTGAGCTATTCTACCGCTAAAATTAGAATAACAGCAATTTTTCGATAAGAACGACACTGCACGGCACGATTTTGGAGGAAACCCCGCCTGTCACACTCCCCTTTAAAAATAGGCAAAGCTCCCGCAAAGGTGGATTGCCCTTTGCACCATTAATGCGCTAATGTATTCCATTTCCTTTCTTCCCAGGCCCTTTAAAGGGGCGCATAACGATGGTTAGCGATGCCGATAATGACGAGGAACAAGAGGGCAATGCTTGCCGGAGGAACAATAGCCATTTGGATGGCCGGCCCGCACTCGTCTCGATCGCCGCCCCACGAACGGTCAGCCAACAAGGCGAGAGCCGACAGACGGACGAACGGCGCTACAGACAGAAGGACAGACAAACCACAATGAACGGGGCCAGCTGCCGGGAATTCGCGATTTGCGGCCAGCTGTTTTCAGGGAACTGGCCTTTGCAAAAACCGGCTTGTCCGAAATTTATGGAATTTGTAAAAAAAGTTTGCAAGAACAGTGCGAACGAGAGAAAAGAGAGAGAGAGAGAGAGAAGAGCGAGAGGGAGGGCGGAAGGGAGAGAGAGAGAGCGTGAACGAGGGAGAGAGAGAGATGGAGAGAAAGCGCCGGAGAGAGACAAAACAAGAGAAAACGTGCTTGAAAGAGCTAGCCCTAGAAATGGCGAGAGGTAGTGTGTAAAAACGAGTTAGATAAGAAGGAATGCGACAGACAACTACCGAAAAAAAGTGGAGGAATAAAGTGTTAAAAAAGAGGGCGCGAGATAGGGAGAAGAGAAAAAAGCTTGATAATGAGCACGAACAAAAGCTTATTATCATAATTTTTACTTTTATTTTAAACATTTAAAAAAAGCCACTAATACTCAATTAATATTAGTCGTATCCGGAAGCTTACAAATCTCTCAATACACATATAATCAAGCGGATTGAGTGGTGAAGGGCTATCGGATGAGCGGGCGGAGAGCCCCCCTGGCCAGCTGGACATATCGGTCAAAAAAGGGTCGGATCGGATACGACGAGAAGAGGGGGGGGAAGGGCCAGCCGGGGCACAAGACAAAACGCCCTTCAATGGGAAATCGAAACCCAGATGTTCGACCCACGGGAGATGTGGGCAGGTGGCTGTCTCCAAGGAGGGAAAATCGTTGTCGTCAACCTGGGAAAGTAATTAAGTTTTGTAGTTTGGTGTAGTTTAAGAGTCTAAAAGGGCTGGGAAGTTAAGCAAAGCGGCAAGAATTAAAAAAAATTACTTTCTAACTAGCCTTGTTTAGCAAGGTTTAGAAGTTGAGCAACTCGATCGACAAGCTGGGAATGTAGCACGTTTTTTAGTTAGTTAGTGCGTACGCTTGGAAAATTAAGAAAATGTGATATAGACGGGGTTTTTGGATGATTTCTCCTAGTCAGCATTTTCTGCGGCTTCGAAATGCAGCGGATCTCGAACAGCTTGGACACGTTGCTAATTGCTCAGGCCAAGGCATAGACTTAAGCATAGGCTCAGGCACAGAATTAGGCTTGGGTGTGGGCTTAGCTTCAGGCTTAGGTTTAGGCTTAAACTTAGGCTTGCCAGTCTATTATGCAATGTCCTCTGACTATGAGATTTCCCACCAGCTGCCCCCCAAGCCGCGAGACGCAGGTGTTTATTTGGGCATTGAGTAGGTGATCCATCAAGCGGTGATCCATCGATGATTAGGCGAGGGAGGGATTTGGCGCTCTTCTTCCACCAGAAACTACTTGCAAATGCATTGCGTAAATTAGTGGATTTTCGGTGGTGGCCATCGACGTTTTGAAGGGACGGTGACAGCAAGCCAATGACTTGAATTAGGCCTTAATAACCCATAAAATTGAAAGCCGGAAAACTCGGCGAAAAATGACATGAATTGGTTCAAAAGTGGCATTCCGAGAAAGTAAGGTGAAAAATGTCGACAAAATCCGCAAAATTCAAGGCAATTGACAATGAAGCAAACGATAAAATACAAAACAAGAATAGTGCAAAAATAACGCAAAATTTCCATATTATTCGGGCGTTCTACCCTCGAATAACGCCCAAATCGTCAACCCCCAAATGATTGACGGGGCCATAAAATTTGAATAATCATTCCTCGGGCCCCGGCATAAGAACTTTAGGGCCAAATACAGCCGTCAGGGGAGAAGGGTCCGAGGCCAGCTGGCACAAGTCGTTTGTGGCCCCAGGGCAAATAGGTAGGGGGGGGTGGATGAATGGATTGGGATGCGGAGATGGGGTAACGAAAATGATGAGGGAGGGTCGGAGGGTGGTCTTCTCGTTCGTGGCGGGACCCAGTAACCCAGAGAATATTTGCCAAAATCTACCCCCGGCCACAAATAGACCGCACCTAGCAGGACGCAGGACAATCGACGGGGCCTTACCGCCTAGACAAAACCCACAAAGATTTGTTGGCTACTGGTAGAGGGGGTGGGGACAAGAATAGAACGGTAGTGGTGTCTGAGAAACTGTAGGTATCCCGATGTATCGAAGCTCCCGGTTTTCCATAGTATCATTACGTTGGCTAACGTAGCGTCTCCTACACTCTACGTGGAAAACTAAACTCAAAAGCACGCATGGGAGCTTATCGTAAGGCGCATTGGCTAAACGTAGCGGTGAGTAGCGCAGCCCAACGTATCGTACTCACCGGAAATAATTAGGAGGCGTAACGGGTTTCCCAATTAATGTGTCGTCGCCTGATCTATCCGAGCGTCTTCTTCCTTACGATAGCGTAATGCATTAAGCCGTAGCTTATCCTACAGTATTGCAAGGTACAGCAATCTGCCGGAGCGTAGCGTAACGATTCTTTACTAAAAACGGAGAAACAACGCGAAA